AGAACAACAACACAGAAGTGGTGCGCTGCGTGGCGGTGAGGGCAGCGGCTGCTCCCATGCAGCTCTCGGGGAGGCGCGCAGTCCTACGGCTGAGAGCGCCCGTCCAAAGACACACAGCAGTTTCATCGTTCCAGCAAGCATGGAGACTACGCGTGTACCCTTCGCGCCTCAAGGCGACACGTTGAAGTATGGTTACACGAAAGGCCACCTTGTAATGGAGCAGGAACAGCCGCAGCAACTGCTGCAGCAGCAGCGAATGCTGCAACAGCAGCAGCAAATGCTGCAGCAGCAGCAGCAGCAGCAGCAGCTGCAGCTTCCGCAACAATCTCAGGACTATCAAGAAATGCGACAACAGGATTCACTGCGGGAACAGCAGTATGAACAGGAACAAAGGCAATGCTCGCAGCAGCAGCGTCAACAACAGCAGCAGCAGCAAAGCCAGAAGGGATACTCCACTTGCGGGGGAGACGAAGGCGTGCTGCCTTCGGGACCTCTCTTTGTTGAAAAGATGTCTCTTCTCATGAAGCAGCTTGCCACTTCAGGAGACGAGGCAAACGGCCGACCGAGTGTGGCGACGCGATTCGACGTACGGTATTCGTGCCGTGCTGCTAATGCTGCTGCCTGACTTGCGGTGGAGAGATAGGCGCAGCTTGGAATTCAGACTCAACTTTATAAAGGTGTGCGAAATATTTTAGTACCCGCAAATACGTGTGTGCATTTTTCAGTCAATATGCCCACCGGCGACGTCCATTGCTGCATACATTCCTCGGCTGTATCGACACTTTCGCTGCTCTGAGGAGGTTTTCGTGTTCGCGCTCATCTACCTTGACCGCGTCATCCGCGCAAACCACATCAGGATCAATGCACTCAATATTCACAGACTCGTGCTTGCTGCCAGCGTTGTCGGAGTTAAGTTTGTAGAGGATGTAAGGTATGTCCGCGATATTGAACGAGGAGCTGGGGCGGCCTTGGCAGCACTAGGTTGCGTGGCTTGGGACGAGTTGGAGTACTCCCCTTTCCTTATTCTGTTGTCTTGTGAAATTATTGTTTCTGGCTTTTCCTGACGATGTTTGTTTTCACAGGTACAGCAACAGATACTACGCCAGGGTTGGTGGAGTGAGCCTGACGGAGCTAAACCGTTTGGAGCTCGCGTTCCTCAAGCTGGTCAAGTTCGATTTGATGGTTTCGAAAGAGGAGTATGCAGTTTATCGCAGCACGGTCCTCCTCGCCTGCCCATGGCGGCCTGTGTCCAGTGTACCGCAAGTGGAGGCAGAGGAACAGCAGCAACAGCAGCAACACTTTGTGGGGGCAGCTGATACAAGGGTTGGTGGTGTAGACTGCCGCAATTCCCTCATGGGTCCAACGGATCAGCAAAATTATGGCGATGCTCAAATTCCTGTGGAGCAGCAAGGGCGGCTGTATGCGCTTGTGCAGCAGCAGCAGCAGCAGCAGCAGCAGGAACAACGGCATCATGAGCAGCAGCAACATTGCTTAAGTGGCGTGGTGGCGACTTCAACAGCTTCTACAGTGTCGACCACACCTGAAGCTGGTCCTCCAAATTTGCCATCGGGCACTTCGTTTGGTTCTAGTGCAGGCGCAGTGGTAGCGGCTGCTGTGGCGGCAGCGGACCTCATCCAGCAACATCAGTTGGATAGGCTGATGGAGAGCTTACAAAGAACCGAAGTCTCTTCACAAGAGGAGGCATTGATGAGATGCCCACTCCAGCAGCAGTGGCAGAGCTGCGGTGTGCAATATGTAGGTGCTTACGAGCAGCAGCACCCGCAGCAGCAGCAGCTATCGATGCAGCAGACACGCTTGATGCTGCAGGCCCAGGCACAGCAAGCCCAATCGCAACAGCAGCAAAAAGTCTCGAAGCAGCAAAGCCGGTTGTGCAGTCCAGAGCGGCTCCTGGAGCTGCAGCACCAGCACCACCGGCAGATGATAGTGCACAGCAGCTGCTGCTGCTGCGGGAGCATCATCATTAGCAGCAGTTGCTGCTGGAGCAGCAGCAGCAACAGCAACTGATGCTGCTGCGCCAACGGCGGAGCTTGCGGCTCGTACACGGAGGGGACCTCATGGTGCACGAGGCCTCGATGTCTCCCAGTAGTTTCGCACCCACGTCTCGTTGCGACAGTAGAGACAGTTTGCCCATGTGCGGCGTGTTTGGGATCGAGGCAGACAAGATGACTGCAGCAGCTAGCGTGAGGAGCTGCACCTGGCAACCCCGTGAACGGAGTATAGCGCTTTGGCAGCCGAGGTCCCCTCGTTTGTCTCTGTCTTTGTTCCTTATGTCCTGAGGCGCAGTCTCAGTTGGTTTTTGTTGATTATCTTCTTCTTCGGATTCACTGTCTCCTCTACTGAGCCATCTGAGTTGGAGCCAGCAGGGCAAAAGCATGTTGCGGAGCGCATTCTATCGGCCGCCGCCCCTCTGTTTCTCTGCTGCTCGAAGTCGAGTTCGTTTCCTCTCAGAATGCCTTCTGACACTGATTCCACAGCGTTGACTACCGGACGGGCTAAGCTGCACGGTCCACACAGCCCATGATTTGCCTCCTCCGATGTTAAGGTGTGTAGGTGGGCGGTGACGCGGCTCCCGTTAGGGGGGGCAACTGTGCCGGTCTTCTCTCTCCCTGATGTGTTGCGGCGGGGTGCGTTGGGTCTAAGGGTTCAATGTTTACTGCGGCGGATATATTTGGGTCGGTGTGCAGTACCTGAATCCCAGCTTTAGTGTTGAGCAGCTGGGACGAGGGCGGCCAAGCTTTGCTTGTGACCCCCTCGCCTGACTCCCCCGTTGGCTCCTCTCGCTCTTCACGGTTTCGCATCTCATTATTCGGATTCGTGCAAGGTGATACGAAGTGATCGTCTTGCACCGTCTTAGACATGAGTAGTTTGTCCGGTGTTTGTCACTTCGTGGGTGTCAACATTTTTTTTCCTTGCCTTATCCCTCACGCTGTGATTGCTTTTGAACCTGCGCGCCGCAGCTGTACGAACAGCGTGAGGTGCAAGCCTGCTTCTTTCTGGTGTGTGGCCCCTAATCTGCGACCTGCTCGCTTGACATGGTCGTCTTCCTGTATGCCAGGCCCGAACGGTATGGCTAACGGGCCTACTCTTGCTGTCGTCTCCCACATTCCATAGCCGCCCCTTCTCTCCCTGGACTCTTTGCCGCTAGACACTTGCACCCCCACCCAGTTGACCCGATGTTTTTAAAGCCGCGCGCCTGAAGACGCAGCCGCCATCTCTGCTCAGACGGCGGCGATGTTCCGTCGCTGTCGGGTATTTTTTTTTGGGGGGGGCTAGCTGGAGTCAACAGTGGCCCCCACACACGTTCTTCGTGGTTATCGCCGTGTTCTGTCTTCAAAGTGGGGCGATGCTGATGGTCAAGGAACCCATAGAGACGTGCGTGGGGCCTCCACAGGTGTGGCGAGCCCCAGGAGGAGCACAGGCGAAAATTGGGGTGGACAAGAGCTCTTCTGCAGTCTTCCAAAAATCTACATAGTCCTGCGCTCGGCGTAGGCGAAGCAGCAGCCGGCTGCTATCTGGGCGCTTTTTCTCTTTTAAGATTATTTACTGTATTATTGGCATGATAGACACAACTGACTCAGCAGCAACTATTCGGCGTGTCTACGGTGCCCGTCCGTATTGTTCTTGCTAAGGGCTCCACCGGCTCAGTCTGGCGCCCGACCAACTCACGTGGCAACCGGAAGATATGAGACCTTGCTTCATGCGCGCCGTACCAACAGAAGCCTATTTTGCGGGGTTTCTTCTCCGCTTTTGTTGCTTTCGGCAGTTTTCGTTTCGTTGTCTACCTGGATATTAGCTCCTTTGTTCTGGCTCTCTGTTTCACTAAATCGAGGCTGCGGCAGTAGAGTTTCTCAAGCAAGGCAGCGAGCAGCGAGCAGACTCGGCTAGCTTACAAGCTGTCAATTAGCTGGTTTCTGGACTGTGAGCAATTTATGTGTTGAGCTGACGGTGAAGGTGTGTTGGCGGCAGCTACGCTGCTATGCGGGGTGCTTGTGCGATCCATACAGCTCGAATTTGCTTTGCGATCTGATTCATTGGTGGTTCGGTGGTTGTGAGACAGCACTAGACTGTTCACTGTGGCGTCAGTGCAGCTTCTGAGGTATGGCTTGACGATGTAGCGGGCGGAGGAGGATGAGGTCGTGGCTAGGCCGTGCTGTACTGGGCAGCATTCATTGAATCTTTTACTTTGGGCAGGGTTGCCGTTCTCTACCCGTTTATGTCTAGGGTTTATTCGTGTGCATGGTGAAGCGGCGGCAACTGAGGCTAAGTTGGCCCCCAGTCAGAATAGGGTGGTTTTGCATTAATGCATAGGTGAGTAGATAGACGACATCCGCCAATTATTAAACAAGCGGTACCAAAAGTTGAGTGTTTCATTCCTACTGGGGGCTGGCAGCTCGTTTATCGGGCGCCAAGGGTACGTGCAGACAAAACGTCTTTAGGATTTGAGATGTATCATTTTCTTGGCACAATAAGCCTAGTGCCACGATTGTTAAATCGTGCTGGCGCGTAGGTTTTCGTTTTTACTTGTGAGGGAGTTTTAACCCTTTTGACTTTGTCCTCGTCAGTTCGATGGACAGTGTGGGTTGTGGTGTGCGAGTGTGGGGCACAGGCAAGGGAATGTGGGTACCCAGAGTAATCCCAGCCTTCATGAGGATGTGTGTTTTGGGCGGAATCGTGTTTGGGGCAATTCTGTATGACTGAGCAGGTCAATCCATTCACTTGCATTGATGGGGACTGTGCAGTCAGTCAGTCTTGTGCTTTTCTTTTGGAACAAAACAAATATTTGGCTCGATGCTGGTGCAAAGAGACCTTCAACTCAAGGAAGCAGACAGCGCGCAGAGCGCTATGCAGTTTTAATTGTAGGGCAAACACATGCCCGCAGGTAGGGACTTAGAATGCACCGTGTACGCCATTAGGGCCAAGTAGCATGGACCTCAGGATATCTGGGGATGAAGAGAGACTAGGGACTAGGTAGGAACGCTTTAGAGCATCTGGGTCTGGACGCGGATCTTGTCGTAGAGGTTGTTGCCTTGAAGCAGGTCGATGTAGACATCTTCGGTATCGTTTTCCTGCATGCAGCGTTTCGCAACTGGGGTGGGCCTATTTTGAACTTCGAGGGCTTTCAGCGTGAAAAGTGTAGTGCTTAATCTGTCCATGATTCGAGTGCTGTACGTTAGGTTGGGTGTGTTGAGCTGCCTTCCTGGTGAATACGCTGTGCTCCTCACTGGGGTGATTGTGACTGTCACGCGTTCCACGTAATCTCCCTGTATGGTCACAACATTTTTCTCTAACTCAGCTCTGTTCCCTCCTTCTAGGCGGAGATTGAAGGTCTGCGTGCAGTCGCTCCACATGACCTGTGCTACGAAGCTCACTGTCTTCTTTCGCACAGAAGTAACGAATCTGGAGTCCCTGAATGCACTGTCTTTCTGTGGTACAAATAAAATGCTGCTTCATAAAGAGAAGCCGTGCAATTACATTTCAACTCAGCAGCTGATCGTGCTCTACTTCTAACCTGGTCACTTCGGGAGGGATTCACCAACAGTACGCTTTGGTTCAGCGGCTCTTTGCTGTGTGTCTTGACTGTGTAGAACATTGTGGGGAAGATCTGTGCACTTTCTTCCCATCTTGGCGTGGACATGCCCTCTGCTACCGCTGGGAGTGAGGCAGGTGCTGATAATGCAGCAGGAGGCGATGGTGGCTTCATGTGTACGACATCTGCGACGATCTGATTTCGCTCCTCTTGATTTGGTGCTTTCTGTTGGTCATATTTTGGAGATTCAGTTTCTCCGCCGGTTTTAGAGGGTTGGCTTCCAGCAGGCTCATTCGACTCAGGCTGTTGTTGCTTGGCTGTTGCCACAGTTGGGAGGCTGCACGGTGAAAGGTCACCTTCTACTGCATCATCGCGCTTTTTGCTTTTAGGTGACAGATGTTGCAGCGAACTCTTGATTTTATCTCCGAATTTCTTGAGTGGCATTTTTGCAGAGATATGACGGAGCGCAGTGTGCCTCTACTAACAGCAGGTGTAGATGCAGAGCTCTGTAGTCCTTTTAAAGGGAAAAAAATTTGAAACGAACCGATCGCACTCTGCTTTCAAGAAACCACGTGAAAAAAGCTTACATGATCATGATATTTCAATGCAGCTGAGCAGAAGGGCACTTATCGATCCCTGGGATCGCACCTAGATGCCCCAGCGCCGACGTGACCCAGGGAATGGCACCAGCCACGGCCGTACACTTGCAGAGCACAACCCCAGCAATCCAGTCATGAAATAATTCATCAAAATTACATTTAGAATTAAAATGCCCACAAATTCTGCTTAAAAGTAAAGGCAACATTCTGGATGTACTCTAGCCCTGTCCTTCCAAGCGCTGCAGTTCATTCACCTCAAGTATCGACTTGCTTGCTTAAGTGGCTTTGGACGGCGGGTATTACACCTCTCTATCTGCGTGCAACTTCCACTGCCTTAGCGTCAGTGCATCCATACCTTGTCATTTCTTCCCTTCGTCAACGCTTGCCAAGCCCCAATACCTTTGTCCTCTGGGCTCCAACTCGAAGCTCGCATCCACAAATCTAGCATGCTCTCACTGGATGTTTGCCGCCTTCTCAACATATGCATCTAGTTCCTCTATTATTGGCCTCAGTCGTGCAAGTTCTTCTCTGGGCCCTCCAACCAGAAGTTCACAACACGTGCTTCCCCTCAGCATCGTGACCAGGCGTTGTTGTCGACCACTCGGTTCTTCCACAAGCCTGCCACCTTTTGCCTGTACCCTGCACCTTAATAGCTCCTCACAAAGTGGCTCTAGTTAAAACGTAAGTAAGCCCCAGTTGTGCTCGCGTCGGCGCAAAATACAGGTCTCCTCCTTGAGGGCATGCACCTCCTTGTGAGCCCAAGCTAACTCCTTGTGAGCCCTAGCTAACTGCTCTTCAAGTTCATGTTGTAGTTGATACACCTTGTATCTTTTCACTTCGAAAAGAGAAGCAAGCACGTCAGATCTCGCCGCCTCACTCCAATTCAACTCGCAACTGGGCTGCTATTCGTCTCTCTCTCATTGTATGGTGTGTAAGTCTAGAAATCTTCGCTCAGCATCTCTTATGCCCACCTGCATCAACATCTCTCCTGAAAGAGTCAGGTGGAATGTCGAAAGTCACTGACCGCCTCAGCCAGCAACCCCTCTTGCTGAGGTTTGCGATTCTGCACCACGCTATCCCTCCGATGAAACTGAGTGGAACGACAGCAATGCACTCATTTCCCGTTGTTTCCATAACAGCATCTGGCACGACATGAAGTCGATGCTTCTCTGTGTTCAGTACATGCTTTACACAGACTAGATGCTCGACATCAGCTTCATCCCTTTCTGCTCCCTCTACAAATAGAGCGCCAGTCACCAGTTTTGCTTCTGGCTTATTCTCTACACTGCGAGACTGCACGCACGCTCTACTTTCTGTGTCGTCCTCTTCCCCAGTTTCAATAACTGGACAGCCTCTGAGGCGTACAGACGTTTCCCGCCCAACTGTACTACAGAAGCCCATTGGCTTCTGAGCCTGGATGAACCCCACAGCAGCATCTTCTGTTTCAGTAACATCAAGGCCTACCACAATGTTCCGCTCTTTTCCTATTCTGACAGCCAAGCCTCCTCGTTCCTTACCGCGTGCACCCTCTGCAGCATTCTCCATGGCTTCTAACATCCCTGACAGAGCGTTAACTGCAGCAAAGGCGATGCTACATTCTCCTTGTACAGTGCCACGCTGTACTGTGCCTTCCACTAGCCTTCACATTCAGTTGCGTTAAATCCACTACCCTCCATCTCAGTCGCCAGGTCAAAATCATTTCTCGTCTCACAGCGGGGACAAACTGTCTTTTCCTGCAGCCCCGTATCCCGACGAACGTTATTACCATTTTTCTTAACCTCAAAGGCACAAGTTACGTCACCACTCTGTTTCCCTTGTTGAGTGTTACTTATGAACCCTTCACTCTGCAATCTCCTCCCTCTACTTTCCTCTCCGTTCGTTCCACCAAAGACCACATCATTTGCCCAAGTACCACGAGCACCTCTCCCTTGTACAATATCTGACTAGTGATCCCCTGAATTTGTTTTATCTTCAGTGGAACTATTACTTTCTTGTCCCGGGCTGGTTAACAGTTCGTAAACTGACCCTCCACCGCGTGCCCCTCGTCTCCTGCGTGGTTCGCCTGCACTGGTCAACCAGCTAGCTTCTCTAACAGTGATTGTTTCTTCTTCAAGTGGCTCAGTGACATGGGAATTTCCCACAGAACAGACACCTAACTCCTCTTCTGCACTCTAATGTACCGTTGCATCCATTGCCACGCTCCCACCTAACAGAGTCCAGCGATCCAGATCCAAAATGCAAGATGCACTTTAAAGACCTAACATGAAAGAATAAAGTTTCGGTCTCATAGCAAACAGCATGCACGTCCGAATCGCCACACACACCGGCGTCAAACGAGCAAGCATCAACAGACGGCCTGGCTATTCTCCGAAACTCACTTGTGAAATAGCTAGAACACCTCAGTAGCTCAATAACAACTACATCATACACTCATGCCTTTGTCCCAATCGCTGAATAGTAGCAGAGGAGGTTAAGTATACTTTGCCGCGTTGCCCCAAGGCCTGCATCGATTGACGGACAGAGCACAAACGAAGACGGCTAAATACAAGTAAACTTGTTAAAGCCTGCCTGAGCAACCTACATAAAAATATGGAATATTTATCACTGTAAAAACATTTCATGAGAAGCTGCCTTGCAATAATTACAGCACGGGCGTGCCCACAATCGTTGGCGCTCGCGCGAGGTGTACTGCACAGCGCTGCGTTTCGCGCGCAACGCTACTAACCACGGAGTCCACAGGTCAGTCTGCTGAGAATATCAAATCCATTTGCTTATTTTTAAAATAAGAGTGAAGGTTTTTAAGAAGTAGAGTCGTGGCCGATGGTAGAGACAGCACGATCTCATCCACAATCGTTGGCGCTCGTGGGAGGTGTGCAACAGCGCTGAGTCTTGCGCGCAATGGCACATACCACAAAACGCGCCGGTGTGTTTCTGCAAAAAATCAATTTTCTCTGCTAAACTTTGTAATAAAGGCGCCAGATTCAAAACACACGCATGCTTTCGTACTCTCGCACTCACGTGTAGCGTTGCCGCCCCAAGACGACACATGCCCAGACTCGGGCAAGTCGACGCATATTTCAGTGTTACGCGGAAACGTGGTGCGGCGCCGCTGAGGCAGCTGCATGCATCGAAAAAATCAGCAAGAAAAATAGGGATATTCACTTTCGATGTATCGCAGGGCATAAATTGCTTTCCTGCGGTGTACACCGGACTGGATTGTGCTCCGATTCCGAGGTCTACAACATAGTCTAAGGAGACTGCATCCTTCAAGGCTGCTTTTCTACAATCGAAATATCTACTTTCCTATTTGTGTTCTATTTTTGTTGCAGAAAATTTCGGATGCGTCAAAGAATGCGTGGGGCGCAGCGCTGCCCATGCCTGAGGTGCCTGAACGCGTGGGCCACCGTAGATGGCAGGAAAAACGTAACTGCAATGGGCGCACAATGGGCGCACATTCTTCAGATAAACTTGCTACTATATCTTTTGTAAAAGTTTCAAACATGCGGAATGTGAACTGTGGACCACGGTTAACTTGCTGAACTGTGGACCACGGTTAACTTGCACACCAAGGTTAACTTGCACAAAGTTGACTGACGTTGGGAAGTGTTGACGCTGGAGCATGCAGGCAATGCGAGCAAGAGCAGCACTGAGAAGCACTTTGATATACAGGATTCGTATTTGTTGTGATCCTTATTTTGCCAAGTGCTCTTCAGGACCGATTGTTTGCACAGTCCAGGGGCCACCGACGCGGGCTACGCGGTATATCAGAAGATTGCGAACGTTGTTTGGAGCACTGTGACACAAGCAAAACACCTTAGGTTCTCGGAGACTACTTGGATGCGCTTCTTGTGTCTCATATACACAACTCAATAAGTCCATTCGCATCAGTGTATGCCTCAGTTCGCTCCACTGACTTTGCCCAGCACTGGTTCCACTACTGTGCAACTTCGCGTCATGCACATTAAAGCGTCGAGTACGTTTAAAAACGGCCACGCCAAAGTTGTTGGGCAAACTCGCATAAAACGAAAATACACTTCATGAGGCAATATTTAAAAAAAGTGCAGGGAGCTACTAACGGGCTCTGGTGTGGGCAGCCTTGTGCCACACAACACGGCATCTTCGTCACCACATGCACGTCCACAGTACACACAGCCGCCTGTCCAAATCACGTAAGTAGGAGCGCAAAACAAATGAATTGCGATGGGGGAAAGTACCTTGATGTGGTAACCAGTCCCCAGCTCGATAGATTAAGTGTCTGTCGTGTGGACCATGCGGCGCTTCCGTCGGCGTCTTCTTTCCTCAAGTGTCTTCTCCAAGTGACACGCTCTGCAAGAACAAAGTGAAATGCTATGCGAGCACGTAAAAACTGTGAGTGCAGACAAGTCCAACACGGAAGCAACCCATAGGGACAACCGAGTAGGAAATGCAGGGAACCCGCCAAACTTCTTTATACCAGCTTCGTTCACACTTCCTCATGTACGGTGAAGTATTACAGAGTTGACATAACTCTTTCATATCAAGAAGTCCTGAGAACCTGTTTCACTATCCTTGGGAGCATGCCTAGCCAACTTCTACCCTCACTTGCAGAGTGTCTGCACAGCATCAACTGTCGCCAGGCCGCCGCCCTCCACAACAGGCTGCCTGTGATCGGCTTCCCAGGCACAGCTCGCAGTGAGGACGGATGCTAGTCGTCGGATCAACGTTGGCCACGGACGAAACTGTGAACCCACACAGCGCATTGGGCAACACAAGCCAGCTTGTTTTCCCTTAGCTGGTCACAGCCGGCCACAAGGGAAAACTCATTAAGGCAGCAGAGTCGTAGATCAGCCAAGGCCTTTCAAATCAGCCTCCGAAACTCCTGAGCATGGGTCCTAACCATCAAAATGAACATTCCACACACCAGGTTCTATTATCACCTGAATATGAATGATGAACACGCCGTTGGTGGCACTGGAACAAACGGCTGCACTAGGATTTTGTCGGCAGCAGTGACCAGTCTTAGCACTGGCGAAAGGAAAAAAACACAAGAGCAGAACTCACACTGGGCGCTAGGCGTACAATTTCCTCCTCAAGCCGCCACTGAGGCTCCCCTGCTGCATGCAACATTCTAAGAGCTATGAGCAACTCTCCGCAGTCCAAACCGCACTGACTGCAAACTCCACCGTCATGTCGCTCGACCTGAGATACATATCAGCTGCTGCAAGCACTCTGCCCCACTAAGTACTAGACAGAATATTTACAGCATTTAGCTGCACGCAAGCAAACGCCGCACGAAAAATTTCTAACTCGGTGTGTGCAGAGATCTCAGTTCACCTGGCGCCTCAACGCCCGCCTACGCCTTCTTGCGCTGTATGCATCTGCGCAGCGGCCACAGCAGGTGAGGTCCTGTTCACTGCATCGAATCAGCCAGTGATGCCTGCCGTCGTTTGCGAAATTCTGCGGCGCTGTCACAATCTCAACTCCCGTCTGCATCCTGGAAATCTTTGTGTAACTTCTTGCTGTCTGTGAGGGCGCATGTTGTGAACAGGTAAACTGGGAGCTCAGCAGCCGCTCTCTGTTGTTTCCCTCATTTGCGGAGATGCTCTCTGACTCAGCGATCCCGGCATGTGCCCCACTCGGTTGGGGCTGCGACAAAGATACACTCTTTCCACTGCTACTGCTGAAGTTCTCGAGTTCTCTGACTTGGAGGAAGGTGCGTGTTGTGCTGACAGCTGAAATCGGCTTCATGCAGGAGACACACAGGACCTTTTTCAGTTCCACCGAGAATGGCTGCAGGTGTCTGTAAACTCCACCAGACTGAGAAGCAATCCCAGCTGTTTTATTGGTGCTGAGGATCACAGGAACTAGCACCACACGAGAACAAGTGCCTGCATTAACTCCAGACGAAGCTGTTCCGCCTGGCAACCGCGTGCTGCCACTCGGGTCGCTCCCGTCCCTCCTAAAAATTTGTTTTGGAACAGGCTTTCCCATTTGACTAAAAAAATACCGTGAAGAGACAATTGCACGCTCTGGGTCATCATCTATCTCCGATGCCATACCACTGCTCTCTGCGCTACCTCGCCTCGCGTTGCAGCTGACCCCAGAGCTTCTGCCGCGTGGTGACGTTTCTACGTTACGTTCACTGAAGTTCCCATCTCCGCTTCCTTGTATTGAAGCAGGATCTCGCACCTGTTGCTGCTCTTGCTGCTGAGCTGCTGACTGCAGCAGCAACAGGGGATCAGTTGTGTGACGCGGCAACAGTGTTGCAGTGACGGGAAAACCTTCCTTCTGCTGTGACGATTCGTTGCCCCTCCTTCCAACGTCACCTTTGTCGAAGCCTACTTCAGAATCCGCGATTCCGACGCCTTGCTGCTGTATTCGGTGGCGACTTTCCAAGTAAACGTGAAGGTCGCGCACCGTCAATGGCATTTCCCTTACTTTTCGCTGCTCAAAAGATGAAAGCAGGCGGAAGAGTTCCATGTATTGCCGCGCGGCTTCTCTCGTGCATCTCATCCCGTAGTCATTTGCGCAGTCCCCTAGTCTGCCCTGCTGCTGAGGCAGCAGCTGGTGCTGGTCCAGTTTCTGCTCCGTCGGGCAATGGATTGTCCTCGAATTCCCCAACTCTGCGCGTGAAAACGATACGCCAAGTGGTGAAGAAGTGGCATCTGAAAATGCATGCAAGCGCTGCGTATACTTTGATACACGAAACCGAATGCGTTTGGCAGCGTCTGAAGGACCAGACGGTCCCGACAGACTCTCCAACAGACCCTGGGGCCTCTGGAGAGGCTGGCGCAACGAAGACAATGAAATATTGGGTGGATCTGCCGTAACTGAATCCACTGAAGCTTTCTGCAGTATGCTATCAGTGGAAAAGTTTAGGCCAGTGGTCATTAGCCCCTCTTGCTCCTGCACCTCATGATGGCTTGGGTTTTGGCGTTGCTCCTGTTGTTGTTTATCTCCATCAACTGTGAGCGAGTGACCTACATGTTCCAAGCGTGGGAGCATTTGTCGCCTGTACTGATGATGCTGCCCTTCTTCTTGCTGCGGCTGCTGAGTTTCTTCGAACTGAGACAGCTTTGCAAGGGGACCGTCAATTGTTCGCTGTACCAGGGCTGATTGCTGCCGAATTCTGTGCCATGCTGCCTCCTCTGTGACTTCTGCCTCTCGCAGGAGCTGCATCACGCATTTCTTTAATTCTGTGCGAAAGCTCTTGCAGGGGATATGGGTTTTCTGCAATGTTTGCCGGCTGTTCCTGTAACTACTAAAGGGAGTTGTTGGTGGACTCTGCAGGTCATCCTGCTCTTCGGCAGAACTCTCCATGTTCGCTTCACCGCATTCAAGCTCTGTCTCACTGTTAGAGATGCCAGATACGGAGCTCCTGGACAATGCAGACGCACGGGCAGAAGTAGAAACGCCGCAAGCTACTGCCGCGGACGGGCCACAACGGCTCAGCAGAAAGTATGTCGTCACCAACCGGCGCTGCCCGCGCCGGTGCAGACGCGACTCCGCTTGCAACAACTCGTGCTGCTGGGGTAACAGCTCGAGGAAAACGCAGACAGAGGCACCTGAAAAGTCCAACTGCAGCACAAACACGAAGTAACACCACAGTTCAGGTGCCAACACTCATTAAAAAAACTGACACAGCAAGTGCCTTTTTTCCAGTGCTAAGAGTCTCTATGGTCTGTACGCCCCAGCAGCGAAAACGCTCGCAAAAACAGAAGCAGCAGACGAACTTGTCTGGTCATGGCAGCTGGCTAATGAAGTCCAGCATTGTGAAGTTGTACTCCTAAGAGAGGAAGCGGCTCATGACTACAGTGCCCTAGAGTTGCAGGTGCCAACAAGAAAGGTTAAGGAGTGAAGCATGAACATCGACATCGCCAGCAGTTACAACACACCCCATGGGAAGAAGCCGAGATGGAAATGATTGCCAAATTGCACGCTGGGTCACTTAGGAAAAGTCGACGCCGCCTGTGTCTCTCCTCCTCTGGCACTGACCCGTCGATGCGCACGAAAGCCTGCCGCTTTCGAACACCCGAGAGCCCTTGCTCTGATGTGTTCAGACAACCCATCCGCAGCTCCCGCAGCCGAGCCGCCAGTGCGTCCAGCACGCGCCGATGGTGTGCGAACACGACGACCTTCGTCGGGGCCTCTGCAGGAATAGCGCAAGTGCAAACCCTGATTTCCCAACCTTCAGTGGAACTACTACACCCTGTCTTGCAAATCCACAAAATGTGAGGCAGCCATAGCACTTTCCTAATTCTCTCGTTCATGCTTCCCATCCCTATTCGTCCCAGCAATCTCAACCTGTCGCCACTACTGAGTTCATTTTGGCTGCCTTGTCACAATCTCAGCGGTCGTCACAATGCCATTCGTACAACGCAGAGTCGACACAATACAGCAAGAGCCTCATTAGCTGCTAATTCCTTATTGATGGAAGAATCTGGTGGATAGCTGGGTAGGGCACCTTCTGCGTCATCAAGCCAGGAGACAGAGGCGTCTTTAAAGAATTTTTCAAGCAACCATTCGGCAGCAGGCAAGACCTTGCATAGGCCCGCACGCTCTGCTGGTGTTGCGGGGGGTTGCTGAAGAAGCTGCGTGGCGACGCCTGCGACGCCGCTAGAGGTGTGGAAGTCCGCGGCTAAGCAAACGACACAAATGACGCCAGGAACGGCAGTTTCTAGACAGGCAAATGCATGCAAACAACTGTAGATATGAGGATCTCCGTGCCGCTAGTTGCACCCTAAGCGTGACGATGAGGGGCAGCTGCAAGCGCTTGAGACAACAGCAGCAACAGCACCATGGTGGAAAACATAAAAAAAACAAACTGACGCGAAGCAGCGCACGAGGAAATGAAAGAAATACAAAACAAGAAGCTGCCAGAGAAAGACGGCAGATGCCACGGAGATGAGACGCAACAGCAAAACTGATACGCCCTACTGCCAAAGCCGTAGTCGCTGTCGCCACTGCTCGACCTAGAAGTCACCCCTGTCTTTCTCTCTTCTGTCCGTATCAGTGACTTATAAGCAGGCTTGCGCAACAAAAGTCCCTCTGCCATGGCGGTGACCAGCTTGTTGTTGCAGTGCAGCTGAAGAAGGTGCACAATTCGTGTGCAGGGTGGTAGAACTAAAGCGTCACAGTCTTCCGGGGCCTTTGACACCCATGGAATGCCTTCCACGGTGTTTTCTGCTTCTTGCACAGACAGCAGCAAATCAGTACGTTCCAAAGAAGAAGTTATTTGCTCCTCGCCACCCCTAGCAGCTGCAGGCTCCGTCTCCGTGTTTGAAGAAGACACCCTCTGAAAGAAAATCCCGGCTGAGGCCGAGGGTGGAGGCGATGTACCTGCTTTCATTTCTCCTGGCATATCCTGCGCGCCTAACTGAGTGTTCAATGTGTTTCCAGGAAGCCCTTGTAATGAGGTCTCTGAGGACGCTTGGGATGACATCCGAGGTAACGCTGCCTGAGGAGCCATTTGTGATGGTCTCTGGGAGGTTACTTTCGGGGGCATTCTCGATATATCTCTAAGCGTCTTTCTTCTGCGTACGAGAACGGCTCGCGTAAGTAGAAGATGTAGCTCCCAGCTCCTAAGAGAGGCCCCGAATCTCCTCCAGGATCCAAAAGCCCGTGACGAGCAGCAGTACTCTTCTGAGGTAAAGAAAAATAAGGACGTGGAAAGTATATTAATCAAGATTAGTCACTCGGAGCAGGCAACTAGCAACCAAGAACAGAGTCAATGTGCACCAAAGACCGACTACAGCACAACCATCAATACGCCACACAGCTTGGCCCTGCATACATTAACATCAGTAGCAGACCCCTCAAAGCCACCGACGAAACTGGCCCTGGTACTAGCAGCCACTGCAATGAGAACAAGCCCCGCGTGCAGCAGCATCAACAGAGGAGGACTAAGCAGCAAGCGTAGCAAGAAAAGTCGTGGTCACAGTAAGGCTGTCACCAGCAAACTGTAGGCGCTCCTCTCTGAGTATATTTCCCACTCGCCGCCTCTCCTGTGCACGCTCAGCGAAGGAGACGAGCGAACTCTTGTCGCATATCCCTAAGGTATCTCCGGCACTTGAACATAAGGGCTGCCCATAAGCCTCAGGAAGTGCCCCTGCCGCTGCAAATGATCGTGTTCTTGCTGCTGCTGCTGAGGCTGTCCTCCATGCCTCCGTAGCCTCAAACCACGGCGACCGAACGAGCGCACAAGAGGCCGGCCCCGTTGTTGCTTTGGTGTTCTCAACTCCAATATCCTCAACCAACAGGTTCTTTGCCTCTGTAGCTGAGACACGGGAGCAGGCAGCAACGGCACCCGCAGCAGCAGCCGCAGCCTTACCAGCGGATACAACAAGCTCGCTCCACTGCTGCAGCTGCTGTTGCCTCCTGTCTGCAGCGTCCTGCTGCTCCAAAGGAGGCAACAAAGCATCGACTAGAGGAAACAAATCCGCGGGGATTTTTACAGATGGAGTGCCTGACAGAAGCAAAGCATGCCTGCTGCTTCTCACGAGGTCAAGCACCTTTTTATTAACTTCGTGACCACTGCCTTGGGGCCTGCAAATTTTCCGACCTCTGAGAACTCTCCCTCTGGAATTACCAGCGCATCCAGAACTCTGTTGCTCCTTCTGCTGCCGATGCTTTTGCTCCCGTGGCTGTTCAGGTGTTGAAAAATACATAGATTTGCTGGTTGCTGCACCAGCAGGATCAGCTTCACTCTCTACTAGCTGTTCTCCTGCTGTTTTTGTTGTTGCATCGTGCGGTGTTCCAGTTGTTCCAGCAACTGCCGACGCCGCAGTAGCTGCTACGACTTCTGAGGACGTGTATGGAGCTGGTCTTGGAATGGCAGGCCCCCTCAGTTTGTGTGCCTCATCTACAACTACAAACTTGTATTGCGTGGCCTTGAGAGTGTCGTACAGTCTGGCAGCCATCTCAAAAGAGGACAGGCAAATCAAATGCTTTTCGTCGGGAGACGGCCGATCGCCGCTGGCAAACAAAACTCGTAATTGAGGAGGACCGCTGTACTCCGGCAGCCACTCCTCCAATGCGTCTGCCCACGCCAAACGCATAGATGCGGGGACCTATGAAAAAGTGCCGGCAGACACAGAGTCAAAATTTTATGAACAACTGGAACTTTACTTCGTGCTCTGAAAGTTGAACCATCGACTTGGCGGCACTCTAGGGTTGAGGCAGCTGCACTCACGCACCACTATAAGACATGGAAATTGTTTGTAAACAGCAATGCACGAAATCGCCTGCACTGTCTTTCCAAGTCCCATCTCATCCCCTATCAACGCTCGACCTCCCCGCTGCAGTCCATAAGCCACTCCCTCCCACTGAAAAGGCAGCAAGTGCTGCCGCAGCCGAGATGGCAGCAACCACCACGCAACTCTCAGGGCAATCTGTACACAAAAACACAACCGTCACTAGCAGAAGTGCTGCCTACGCAAACGGCAGCAGCAGCAGGAGATTCCGCAAAAGTGGCCGCAGCAGCAGTAGCAGCAGCGAGAACTCGTCGCCTTCTTACTTCCTTTGACGTCACAAGAAACTTGCCCGACCCCCAAGCCTCTTTAAAGAAGCGAAGGGTAAGCGAGGGGATGGGCGTCAACGTTGCCCAGCCACAGACAGCAGCTGCCGCTTGCAAGATATAAGGATAAGCAGATAAGCGGAAAACACAACCATCAGTGTACTTCAGGCCGTCCTTGGGGGATTCAACAGCTCCTTCAGTCCAGTCCTTAAAACGAAAACTTTGACGCTTCGATAAAGCACCTAATTTTGAAGTGCTGCCGGCAGGAGCAACAGGAACAGTTGCAGAAGTTCCATCTGACTCCCAATCATGCTCACAGCACCCTTCAGCTGCAGAAGCATGAAGAGCAGCTGCGCTACTGAACTGCAACCGAAGAGATTCGTCTGACTTTATGCGGTCACTACGCGGCAGCCACGAAAGCGGCCGCAAAAATTCAGGGATGCTCCAACTGTCTTGTTTTTGCTGTTGTTGGTCCTGTCGATGGTGTCTAGCATAAGCCTTGGCAGCAGTGTCTATGATTCGAGGGAGAGCAGTTGTCAGCATATCCCCGGTCTCTGTACAGCCGGCTGCATGCAAGCGAAAGGCGTGTGGGGTCTCAAACTCGCAGAATATGCGCACTCCATTGCTCCTGTTGCTGTTACCGGTGCAGCAACGCCATTTCTCCACCTTCGAGCCGCTCACTTTTCCACGACAGGTAGGGTACCGAGAGCACCCCAAAAACATGCCTACAGTAAACAAATGCAGCCTGTGTAAAAGCGAAGAGCTTCACGAACGTTTGGAATATGAAGCAACAGCAGTGATATCAATGCAGAGAATAAGAGACGCCGCCGTGAGTCATACGCGCAATAAAATGAATTAGACGTTGTGTTGTTCGTGGTTAGTGAGCTGTCTTGACACAGTTCATAAAAATCATTGCTACAGTTGTTGTAGCAACTGCTGTTACGACTGCTCTTACTGAGTGTCTTTCCACACAACGCTTTCCGTGCTGCCCTGTTTCCTGCTGCTCACCGTAACGGCCCGAGCGGAACTCCATCCCAAACTGGTGACAAAGAGGACAGCGAAACGAAGCAGCAACCTCAGAGCTGCTGAGACTTCGTCGTCTCTCTGCCTCAGCCAGCCACTCCAGGGAAAGCCTCACTCCAGGACTCAGTTCAGATTCGGCCTGCAGTTCATACGTGTGGGTGCAGCGGTAGCAGCTGCTGCTGCTGACTCCGCCTACTATGTTTGTTTTGGTACCACTGCAGTCACAGGAGCGGCTATTATTATTTTTGTTGCTCTTGCGACTGGAGGAACTTCCCTTGGAGACGGGAGTGGTGTTGCTGCACGTGCTGCGAGCCACCACGCCTCCCCTGTTCCCCGCCACCACATTTTTCTTGGGAGTTCTCTGTGGAGTTTTCGGCGCATCGAATGCAAAGGCGTCGAAGGTGCTTAACAGGTTGTCGGGCGGTCCACGGGGTTCATTAATGCCAACTGTCCTCAGTTGCTGTTGATCTGACATTTGAGGTAGCTTCTGAACATTCTTTTGGAGCAACTGCTGCACGCGGTTCTTCCGCGCGCACCTGAGGATTCTCCTGAGTCTGTTGCTGCTGAGTCCCCTGCAGTTGCGGGTACAGTTGTCGGTATTGCTGCTGCGCAACCTCTGCCCCGTCAGCTGAGGACGGGCCAACGGACCGCTGTTTACACAATTGCAATCCAATAAATACAACTACAGCAACAATATATTAATGTTTATTCCCGTCAACCGCTACGTAAGCGTCCCGCAATGCGTTGACGGAACTGGCAGCATCTGGGGACCTGAGGGGGCCCCCCAATCTGCCGAGGGCGGTCCCCGTAAGCTAGCCAACGGGCGTTAATTGGAGTGTGTGAAGAGCTTTTATCAAGTCATGTTGTACAAACGTAGTCAATGAAAAGGCGAAGGAAGGGTGATACGCCGAAGACGACAGGCGCAGCTGCCACCCATGCCCAAATCCATCACCAAACTACACACTGCAATGTGGTGCATGCTCAAGACTTGCTAAATATATTTAGTTTAAACTGTTTCCACTATTTTGTTGTTGTCTTAGCCATGCATTTGCTATTTGGATGAAGACGAATCGAAGGCCCGCTCTGAAGGCCGAAGACCAGAGGCCGGGCAGACCGTGGGGAGACGCTGGGTGGAAGGCCTCTCAACAATTTGGTGAGTGTTTAAGGGGGCAAACCGAATATTGCTTATATTTGCGAGCTCCATTGATGACTGTTAGCCTATAAGAAAACTAATACGACGCCCAGATGAATATGATAGTGATAAACGTTGTTACAATATGTGAGGCGTGTCGTTGCTTCTGCCCAGGCTGTTCATTGTTGAGATAGATTCTCACGCTGTGGAAATTGGTCAGAATGCACATTCAATTTTTGTTTTTATTTTGTGTCCTTATTAAGTGGCTCAAGATGTCGGTTAAAATTTACTTCTTGGCCCTAGAAGCTATAGTTTGCCAGGGGACGGCTGGCTGTTCAAAGAGGTGAAGGCGACTTATGTCTCAACGCAGCACAACTGCAGTAAAGCAATGAAAATCTTGAAACTCAAAGCAAAGCTGTAGAAGTAAAGCGAAGCGCCAGTCGAGGCAAAACAGGTGAACGCCGCCTGCACACGCAAGTATGGTGCTCGATCCAAATATTTCCAAGCGTATGAATGCACACGCAACTCTATGAATGCGTACTAAAGCGTACGAATACAAACGCAAACGTATGAATGCAGGAATTCGTTCAAAGCCCGCATTCGTCATGGACTAAACAAAACACTGGTTGGAAACCCGCATTGCTCTGTTGGTGTGTGCTGAAGAAAGGAACACAAGTAGACTACGCATAGAAGACCGATGGAACTGCAGAATGCAACTAATCTGCTAAGTTCTCCAACAGTCTGCGGATGTGCGAGCTTCTCTTTTCGCCTTTTTTGGACGGTGCTCCAATCTGTACTGTGTTGAGCGCTTCCACTGTGGCTCAAGCTCAACCGTAGATTCCGTAGTCACTATGTTTTTATCTGTCTTCTTTTTTGGCCGAATTTATGCAATTTCTGTGGAATCTGAGCTGTGTTACTTTTCTGATTCTATGTATGTGCTTATCTCTATATCCTGTTGTGCTTTGCTTTATGATTGCAGGTGCACACGTGTTTGTCGCTCTGAGTCTCCATGTGTCATTTCATACCCCTATGCATGCTTCTTTGGCTTGCTTCCTCGGCATGTATGCCTCAGATAGACAAAGAACTAGTACTAAGAATAGAGATAAACAAAAGTGCATGCCTTTTCATATGCATTTGAAAGCCTGGTTGCTTTCTGCTTCTGTGTGTCTCAAGGTATGAACCCTTCTTGCGTATGCACCTCAACCTCTGCCATCGACATTCTCTACCTTGCATGCTGATAGTTTGCCACCTCCCCTCATGAAGAACCAAACTCTGCCTTGTTGCGGAGAGCTTTCACTGTGGGCACTCCATAGGCTTAATGACCTTGCCTAGCCAGAGCACTTCATAAATATTGATTGTGAATCTGGGCTTTCCTGCAAGCAGCTAACAGGCGACTGAAGCAGTAGCAGCGACGCCACTATATACGCATAGCTGCATTAGCAGCATAATCCGCAGAGTTTCTATGCATGTATAACAACATGTGAACGCAAGTGGTCGTAGTACACGCATGTACATAGTTAGGAACAGGGGAGAAACACCCTTAAAGGTATCCACTAGCTGTCTTCTTTTGTCTGTGCACTGTGGGCTGCATCATGATGTGATTTTTTCTTCTCTTTGTCCTTTTTGTCCTTATGTTTTTCAGCTTTCTCTGTCTTGTCCCCATGGTCTGTCTTCTCATGTTTGTTTTCTTTTTCTGACTTTTCGTGTTTGTCTCCCCGTTCTGCTTTTTCATCCGCCCTCTGTGCGCCACTGTTCAAAGCATCGTTTTCTCTCTTCTCCTGCGTGGCCGCTTGCTTGTCTTTCTTCTCTGTCCGTTGCTGGTCTGCTTCTTCATGGCCATAAAGGGGAGCAGCTTCGGGCTCGTATCTTACACGTACAGTGGAAGGATGGGGAGGTGCGCATGGTCTAGGATTCTGCTTGAGTTTAAAGACCAATGCTGGCTGCCTGTTGCTGTGCAGCTCCACCGGCGCAGGCTCTTCTGGTGTCAGTATAGTGCGCTCCCTGTACTCAAGCTCGTAAGGGCTCAACGGAACCTCTGTCAAGGCCAAAGCTACATCATATAAGCCGTATTCATACCACCCGCAGCTAGTGCTTGACAGCGGTGGTCTCCGCACGCTTCGCGCCCGGCTCCGCGAATACAAGTCCTTACAGGAAACTGAGGCTCTTCCTGCTGGCCCTGGCAACGGGTTACCGGAGTGTGGTATTAAGCGGAAATCCGCTGATCCAGCAGGAGGCCTTATTGTCATCTACAGTACACAGAAAATACGCTAGTGGAAGAATAAAAGAGAAACTAGAACACTGCGAACAGCACGGAACTGAGCTACTGGGTGCATATGCCTGCTACAGTCCTTAGAGAACTGCAACCCTCCAAAATCACTGGGAGAGCTCTGCGCAATACGGTAGGCATCCCGCGTATTTCTGTTCTTGGTTTCTTCTGGATATGGAAGAGCAGAAGGCACTACGAATGCTCATCGATACACCAAATGAACCAGCGCACCTGTAATACATAAATGCCTGCACCATTTGTTGCTCGAATTGCGCTGATGGTAGCGTGAGGGTACACTGGAGATCGTAGCTGAGTCACCGAGCGCCAGAAAACGCCCCGCGCACTGCAAGTTCCCTTCAGTTTCTACGGCTCAGGCTGCCACACTGCTCTGCAGAGAGCCTAGCATGGCAGCTTTCGGCTATTCTGAACTTCTGAGAGGCTTTAAATGCATATGAGGAGCGTGACTCCACACAGCAGGAGCAACATCGCAGTTCAGAGGCGAGCGTTGTCACGCCTGCAGCAGAACCAGCTGAGCTAATGCGTTGGGTAAAAGATAAATTCTTTCCTCATGAGCCTTTTTGCTCACACTTCTTGGTGGGCTTCACTGTTTGTCATTGTTTGCTACAGAAGTAACAGCAGAACTTAACGGCGCTGCACCCTCGGCCCAGCCCCAGCTTCAAGAACAGAAGTTATTGAAGAAGAGTAGCCGATTCTGCGTGTCGCAGTGTTAAGCAGTGTAAGAATATATCCTATTTAAAAATCTTCTATTCTTCGTAATAATACATGATGTGATTACGCACGGCTTACTGCAGAAGCTGGCAGGCTGTTGAAACCTTCCACATATTCCATCACAATCTCCCATCGCTATTGGCTACGCGTGCCTAGTCGCCGTTGTTCGCGTCCAATCGGTATTTTTCGGGCAGCAAAACAATACTGCTCACTAATTTTTTGAGCAGCCTTCTGTCTCTGCTGCGCACACCGAACGAATCCCAGGCCAGGGTCACAGCCTGCTTGGGGGGCTGCTGTTGTTTCTGTCTCTCTTGTTGTAGGAATTAACCCGTGGATATTTCCTTTTCCGCCTTACATGGCATTGAGTGACATTTGGGTGAGTGCGTATGATTGTACTGCATGCTGGGCCCAAGCGCTGGTTCACCCGCTGGAGAAACAAAAAACGGATCTTCTGGGGCTTCCACTACAGCAACAGCTGCTGCAGTCTGCGGGGAAGCAAGCAAAGCATCAGAGAACCTCCGTGTGGAGGGGAGTCTTCATGTTCTGGTCACGGTTGGCACCACATCGTTCGATGACCTGGTGAAGGCTGTGGATTCTGTTGCATTCTTAGGTGTGCTGAGGAGTTTAGGAAAAGTCCGTTTGACAGTGCAGTTAGGTCGGGGACAGTATATCCCTTTCGGGATATCTGCAGAAGATCCGGATTTGACTGGTGTTGGGGTGTGGGTACACCGGCAGGGTCTGCAGTGCGTGCGGGTGGTGCGTTACATCCACTGTCTTTCACTTATCTTGCCTTCCTTCGACCTCATCGTGTCTCACTGTGGAGCAGGAACGCTTCTCGGTGCTTTGCGGGCGTCGCGGCGGGTTGTGGCTTGCGTGAATCAGAACCTGCAGCAGAACCACCAACAAGAGCTGGCTAGTGTTCTGGCTACAGCTAATCACTGTGTAGCAGTATTCGACCTCAAAGTGCTGCCGCAGAAGACGCTAGAAGCGTGGAGAAGGCCTCTTTACACCGAAGCAGGAGAAGTGATAGCATCGGTAGGAGAGGAAGGAGAAAGGGCATCGGAGGAGAGAGAGCAGCACGAGCGGCCCCTGCTACCTCTGCCTTCTCCGAATGTCCATCGCTTCGTTGAAATTATGAATGAAGAAATCGAGGAAGGAATGGAGACGGAAGAAACAGTGGAAGTACCAGATAAGACGTACATGGAGGCCACACATGCCAACAGAGACAATTATCGATAGACAAGGGCAAAATACGGAACACGCAACCTGGAATGGGTTTAAGAAGGCATGGTGAGGCCTGCAGGAACGGATAGGACGACAGAAACAACGACAGAAACAAAAGAGAAAAATGAGGAATAAAACTGCCCTTGTTTCCCTGTGGTCTCCTGTTCTTCGAGTTGTCCCTCCATCAGCCCGTCAAAGGCATGAGACAAAGAGTCAACGAAATAAACTACTGAAGGCAGGAACGGGAGAGCAAAAATAGAAGTGGCAGTGTAGACAGGGACATAAAAGACTGAAAAAACAAGGAAAGGAAGAAGAAGACAAACACGCAGAGACGAAAAGACGAGAAGGCAGAAGTAAGCATCTACAATAGACAGAACTAGAAAGGCCAAGGAGAAACGACGGAGAACGGCCAATACGCAGAGATGGCGGACCCCACCCCGTACATGCGCCTGACCAACCCTTTTGGCAATGCCGCGCGCAGCATGCAATTTGTAGGAGAAGGGGACTCTCTTCTTTTAGGAGACGATGGAGGCCTCTGTTGCCTCTTTGATTTGAAGTCCAGACGGAGCGCGTTTGCCGTATCGCCTTCGAGCCTCACCTGCTTGAAGGCTGATGCTGTTGGTCCGCCCATGGCGGCTGCAAATTTCAGTGGCAGCAGCAACAGCCCTGTGCTGCACATAGAGCCGCTTTATTGCACTCGCAGCAGCTGCTGCAGCAGGGTGCTAATACAACAGAAAGACTCGCAAATCTCTGTGTTTGATTTGGAGTCCCAGAGGTTCACTTTGTCCTTCAAGACTGGCTCCTTTTCATTTTGCGAATGCGCATGTCCACAGCCAAAGACCAGCAAAAGCAGCAATGCGTGGAGCAGCAGTGGCAGCAACTGCGTGGGTGAAGAGTGTGTAGCGGCCCCAGTAGCTGAAATTGACACCATCGGTTTGTTTGATATCAGGGCCTCAGCCTCGTGGCATAGAGGGAAGAATCATATGAGCGTAGTGTCGCCTGCGCTTAAGCTTAAGCTACCTCCGAATTCTGCCTCTCGTTTTGCATCACAGGAGCAGAAGCTGCAGGAGCCAGGGAACTGTGGGTCCGTTCAAGGCCTGGGCTTCCCAGCATCCGAATGTCTGCTCCTAGCTGCGTACGAACTGCCATTGCTGGCCCTCTGGGATGTCAGAAACAATGGGCAACCGCTTGCACTTCTGCCTTTGGGGGCCACATCTTCTCCCCCCGCTTATGTTGCGACAGTTCGAAACAGAGTATGGACTGGATGCATTGAAGGAGATATATTCATACATCGCGTGGCAAGCCAGAAAGGAAAAGACACGCCAGCAGCAGCAGCACCAACAGATGGAAGCACAGCGACGTTTTTACTAATGTCCAACGAAAGGCGGGAGGGCACAACAACCGTGGCTTGCGGCAGCAGAAGGGATGACGAGGATTGTTTTGGTATCCTTCCTTGCCTAACCGGTGTAGCCCATGTGAATGCAATCGAGACTGTTCGGAGGAGCCACGTCCCTACCTCCAGCCATTTTGATCTGTTTAGCAACGTAAGCTATCTAGAGTCAATGGGACCTAACAGCACACACCTTACCTGTATCTCCGTGCGCAGGGATGGCCTCCTTGGCTCCTGTGGCACTAATGACGGAGCTGTGTTGTTGCTCGAAGGGAAGCACTTAAAGCCGCTGGGTAGCCTTCAGGCCCACCACTGTGGTGTCTCCGCTGCTGCCTGGTGCAGTCACTCTGGCCGACTAGCCACGGGGGATAAGCAAGGGGTTGTCTACCTCTGGAGTGTGTATGCAGATACTTACACACGTCAAGCTTGTAACTAGGCTGCCTCTGTACAATACATTTATGCCATTTGTCTGTGCTCATGTGCGCATATCCTATACAAAAGCGTCTCGCCTTCTAACATCGCGACTTAAAACGATGATACAGTTGCCCAAACAGCACACTTGGGGAACTGCAGCATTGCTCTACTCGTGTTACTGCAGTCGTTAACGCGCTTGCTAAGCGGCAGCGCGTGAAGGAAATGGATATGACTTAATTCCCCAAACAGTGAAAGATGTCTTCTTGAAGCCAAGAAAATGGGCCGCTCGCAATCGCACAAAAAATCCCACAAAACGAACAGGCAGAAAAAAAAGACAGGCACCTGTGCACTGTACGTGTACAGAAAAGTGGGATGGTTTGCAGAAGCGGGCTTGCCTGTAAATCTTGTGTGTATTCTGTTGCTTCCGCAATTTGGAGCAATGTAGGCAATTGTGTGCGCATTCTTTACTCCGTAAACAATACCACTCATAATATATACACCATCACTATACTTGCATTATATTCCAACAAAGATACAAGTACTTGCACAATATATAAAGCTTTTCTTGACAGGCGAGGTATTTCCAGGATACTTTAATGTTTGATTATAGCCACGCGCCCCAATTGTTTGCAGCTTTATGCAAAATAGGAGATTCCATGTTTAATTCTACATATACAGGTAAAAGTAAGATGTAAGAAAACATAAACCAATCAGACCTCTGCCGATGCGAGCTATATTGTTTCAGATGTTAACAGGTACGAAAATGAAAAAAATATTCCATTTCCTCTACGTGTATGCAACGCAAATGAACTACATCACCCACACGACCAGGAAAAATATCTGCCATGAAGACACTGTCATGTATACGAAACGCAGATTATGCCGAAAATACAAGAAATAAACATGTGGGTAGCACTTCTGTGTGCACCAGCCATGTATGCGTGGGCCATGTATGTATGGATATATGAAGCTATATTCATGAGCATGTAAATGCTGCACATTCCTGTAGGAAAATGTACGTAGGCATCGCTAGGTGTACTACTCTACACCCGAAGCCGAGAATTGGTCGAATGGCGTCAAATATTGAGCAACCAAAAATAGGCTCCACTAAGAAATCACGGCTGATACTCGTCCCAAGAGCGGACCTCCCAAAAGCGCTTCCTGCCCCTTTCCCGCGAGATCTTCTTGGACAGGCTCTCGACAAAAAACGAAGCCAACTTCAAGTCCGTTAGCAGAGGCACTGCATATGCAGGAGAATACACACACACAGTGGAAACTGCATCCATACAGAAGAGCACGCAAAACTCGAAAAATTCAAACTATCAAACAGGAAAGCGCGAACAACGCATACACACAAGTGTCGTACACATGTTCGTGCTCCCTTGAGAAATCACACGAAGAAGAGCATCTCAAGAAAAAGAGAAACGCACCACACACAACGCTGTCTTTGTGCGTTTCCAATCTTGAATCACCACTTTGTGTTCAAGCAGTAACACATGTAAGCACCCAGTAGTAAACTGTGCGATCTAAATGCACTATCACTGGTTGGAACAGAAGCGAGAAAAACAGCAACAACATCAACATTACAATCAGCTTCAATTCTGCCTTCCGAGCACCGTAGCTGTACTGCATGTAAAGATGTAGAAAACAATCTCTACCACGTACCACCAGCATCGACGGCCGTTCTCCTAATAATGTAACCCGCAGATACGGACCGGTGGTGCGCCCGGCCTGGAACGTTGATAACTAACTCTACAAGACCTTCAAACAAACGGAAACATACAATGCGTCGACGCATTCTGGACTCATTGTCTGCAGCACTGCAAGACAGGCGCCGGAAGCAGCATGCAACCACACGACCCCATCCACTATTTCTGCTGCTCATTGATCCTGCGCTTGCTCCACTGACTCTCAGAACTACAGACGATTCCTTTCCCCCCCCCTGCCTCTCTCCGTCCACTTCCATCTGCTTTTCTAAAGCCCTAGACTCCTGTTCCACTTTCTTCTGTGCGCATTTGCTCTGCCTGTCTCTTTGCCATTACTTTGTGTACCCCCTACCGCACACATCATCTGCCCGGTTCTGCCTGTTGCCTCCCCACCACACCCTACCACTGCCTCCGTCTTTTCCAGCAGTAAGTTCCTGTGCCCGTTAGAAATTCTTCTGAATCTCCCCACCCCACTACTTTGGCGCTAATACTGCAAATGCTATGAGACCTCTCATCGTGACGACTCTGCTCACCCCTCTTGATGACATCCGTCGCAGTGAGCAGATCTTGGCCTCCTGCCTCAGCACTGTTCCCGTCTTTGGAGACTGGAATAATTTGCTTTTCTATCTCACTGAGGACCATCTCTCCAGGTGGTGTCTCCAATTCCTCCCCACTCTCTACCGGAGCTGCCAAACTGCTCCACGGCTCCGTATTCCTCTGCGCACTCCCAGCCTCCTCAGAAACCGCTTCCAAGCATCCTCTTAAGCTCTTCCGCAAAAAGTTGTACGTTCCTATGATTGCCAAAAGTCACACTGTAAGACCACTACCAATGTGCCGCAAAAATACATGCAAGTAAAAGACCAATAAAAAGTCGAAGCATCAGCAACAACAGCTACTTGAACACAAAAGACCATCTTCGGAAACCGCAATACATAAATCTGCTGCCATGCCAAGATATCGTAGAACGACTACGGAACAAACACACAACAATAGGATGAATGACGTCAGCAACACTACTCGCAGAAATTGCCAAGTTACTACAAGGTGCAGGTAAATTGCTAGAAGCCGCTTGTTTCGTCAGCCCCTCCGTCCTGCTGAAGTGCAGCTAGACAAACCTTCCGTTGCGTAGATTGTGAACCCAAGTTTGACAAGCTTAAGTGCGAAAGGGAAGAAGTCTACCTTGGACCATCGAGGACCTGTGAAGGCGAAGTCAGCGCAGCACAGTCAACTCTGTCCCAGCCAGCTCAGATACTACTTCAACAAGCCATATATTTCCCTTAAACACAAGTTACTGACCAACAGTTTGTCATCGCAAGCATTATTCACGAACCTGTTACGAGCATTAAAGAACGCCTCATTAAAGGTAGCCGCAGGCCTGCAGAAACCATTGCTTTCAAAAAGGCCTCGTGCTTGTCTGCCCCGAAACAAGCTACCTGAGAGTACGTCAACACATTAGAATACGCACTCCACACAGGTGGGATTCCATCTACCCACACTAATATCAGCAAAAAAAGCCGGCAATGTAAATTTACAGTGCCGTTGTTGTTGCTCAGCTTAGCTACCTCGCCTGTGCTGCGCATTTCTACGCCGAGGAGAGGATCACAGCCTCTAAGTCTGCTGAAGGAGAAGACCGGGACCTTCACACAGACAAACTCCAAATCCGTCAGATGAATTGATTCTGCTGTCACCGGCGCTCCCACCATCACCCTAGAATACAAAAACACCAGCAGCCCAGCAAACAAAAATCACCTTCACCACTTCAGCTCATGATCTAATGCCAAAGCTCCTGCTGTGATAACAACGGCCGCACCAGCCCTAGACAATGCAGCTGAAGCTAGATGAAGTTGTTTGCCTCCCACCAGGCAATCATCGCTGTATTCCGCCCTTTGCTCTTCCCCGTTTCCAAGTGTTCATAAAGCTTGCGCTTACTTTGTAGCTTGTTCAATGAAGTCCACGCCAAAGCACTTGCTGATGAATGGGAAAGTGCGAGACGCCCTCAAATTGCACTCAATGATTTTCACTTCGTTGTTCTTGCAGATGAACTGGATGTTAAATGGACCTTTGGACCCCTCACCCACGCCGACAAACATAACCGTAAACTTGAAGCGACAAACACAATGAGATCAAATAAAGTTTGACCAGCTACAAACCCTCCTGACGTGCAACCAACAGCCAGCAGCAGAATCCACCAGATAGAGCCCCGTCGTCCGAGCAAAAAGGCAAAAGCAGCGTGCGCTTCTTACCCGACACGCGCAAGGCCCTCGCAAGTTTCTGGGCTATTTTCTTCACCCGCCTGCAAAACGTAGCGGCAGAAGTATCCCTCAGTGTTGCTGCTACTGCGAACTCCCCCGGTGCTGCTTCCGCCTCCCTCATTATAGCAGCAAAGAATAATGTAGAGCTAACCGGATCGTCTCCACATAGAGTGTTTGCGCCGGTAGGATCAAAGTGGCATCTCCCGAATGTGTGCCTGCGGAACAAACGTGAGTTATCATAAAAACAACAGTACAACACAAATGGCCGTGAACACCCGTTCACCTGGATCTCCTGCTAGTACAAAGTGTTACAGACCCGCATTTTCGACGTGCTCGCTAATAGCGTAGTTGAGGATCTCGCCGTTGTTAGCAACGCTATCGAATTCTACCTAAGGAAAAGAAAGTCACAGAGAGAGCGCCACTGCGGATTCCAGAAAAAAGCTACACTCAAGATCACGCTCAAGGGGAGGACTCGGAACCCTCGAGACACTTGAGACAAACTCCAGAAGCTCAATAAGCCGTACTTCTGCATACCTCTTTTGCGTTGCTGACAAATTTGGATATTACGACCGGGTTGTCGCCAGAAACAACAGCTGCGACCTGCGCAAAGTAAGGTCCCGCAAAGGTGTTACACATTAGAAACTCGGGAAGCATCGGACGTGGGCCACAAAGAACGAAGGGTATACGCACCTGCAAGAATTCCCTCAACTGCTGATCATTCGTAACCACTCGCATCGCCGCACCGCTCAAAACATAGGAAGGCCTTACAAGGACAGGAAAGCCCACCTAAGATATGCATACACAGCTCCAGTACTAGAACTAAAACATGACAGGAAGAAAAACTGGGCACCAGAGAAAAGCACGCCCCGCAAGCAATGTCACATTGTCACCGCGGTAAACGTTACAGCTGCAATGAAGACCTATGCGGGTTTATATGTTCCATGATTGCGTACGGAATGGGGATGAGCATCACAATGAAAGAACATGTATTGAGGAATATCCCACAATCACGCTTCAAGGCAACTCAGTCGCGGCCCGGCAGTACCTACGGTCCTGCATGGAAGTGGTGCTAGCGAGGGACAGCTCAGGCTAAGAAGAGTTGGGCTCTACAGTCGCATTGCGACCATGCACAAACCTTGTTGCTGAATTCCCTCGCTGCTTCAAGCGACGAAAATTCGCTCCAGCCCGGCTGATCTAGCCGCAACTCGTCACACAGCCTGCTAAACTTGTGTCGGTCTTCACAGCAATCGATGGAGCTGACGTTCGTTCCTGGTCAGAAGCGAAAATGTCAACACAGAGTACACAACAAAGCTACGGACACACACAAGCGCAGGGTCTCACTGTCTCTGCGGCTCTGTGAGCTGCACCGCCATTTATAAAACAGAACTAGATGCTGACTTCAACTTAGGTACCTATTATGCCAACGCCCCTCCTTTGAAGTGCGCTGCACAAGTTGTTGGCCGTTTGACCTCCAACAGAAATGATCATCCCCCGCGGCTGCTCCAGATCCCTTAAGAGACACAACAAGAGAAAATGTAACAGGAGTCTGAGGAACGGCATAAAATGGCTCTGAGCAGCCTCTTGCGCACGATGTTTCTGCAACTGCGGATGCGACCAAGTAGCCGCTGGTCGCATCCGCAGTTGCAGAAACATCGTGCGCCATTTTATCCCGTTCCTCAGACTCCTATTACATTTTCCCTTGCTGTGTTAAAGCGTTCACGTTCCACCTTATGGAAAGCGCCCCTTTTGCGAAGAACATTTACCAAATGGTGGAGACAGTCTCAAGCGTCAAATCCTCGAAATACAGGCGGTCGCTGACGTCGTAGTCTGTGGATACTGTCTCTGGGTTACAGTTAACCTATGAATACATAACAAAATCTGTTGCCACTGGTGACAGACGTACTGATGCTCCTTCTCTGGCCCTGCCTACACAAGACATCTGGCACCCCTACTGTTAATGGACCTCCCAGAAGCCACTTCGCCTCTGTGCGAGCATGGATGCCTCCTTGCTGTTTTGCTTTGCGTCCCGCCTGCTGCCTGACTGTTGCCTATCTCTGTGCCTCTTCCCCGTCGTCTCTAGGACCCCCCACGCACCACGATCGCCTTATGACCCAACGAACGGAGCGTTGAGATGCAAGACACTGCAGACCAGTCGAACTCCACGCTGCTACCGATGCAGTAGCAACCGCAACCTGTGTCACATCAAGTAGAAGCACAAAGTCGATGGAATACGCCACGTTGCCACTGCTCCGGAACACCCAAACTGCGGCAACAGCGAGCGAATCAGTTATAACCTCACCAACAGAACCTGAAACGCCGCATGCACGGGTAACCTGCGCTTTAAGACATACCTAGCACGACGTAACAGCATATGACAGGTCCTTCCACTTGCTTCGTCGTCACCGTCTGTCTTGAGCTGCATAGGCTACCCAGAACTGAACCCTGTCCACGCTCTGCTCCGGGCGTTAACCTCAACGTATCCCTAGAAGGCTCAGGAGTTGGAGATTGCAGTGGCTGCTGCGTTTGCTGCCCAAGAGCTCGGGGCAGATGCCCTCTCAACTCGCGCAGCTCCTGCAGCTGCTCCCGGACTTGCTGCTGAAGTTGCTGCTGGATACCTTGGTGCAACTGTTGATCTAGGTCGTGTCCCTCACGCTGCTGGTCACCAAGCTGTTCAGCTTCACGGAGCTGCTCCACAGGCTGTTCCTCCTTTTTTTCCTCAGTCTGCCCATCCTGCCGCCCTGCGTCCCCCTCCCGGCCATCAGGCCGCTGCTCCTGCTGCTGACTCTGGGGATGAAGTAAGTGCTGTTGGCTCTCCAGATGCTGCTGCCCATGCTGCTGCTGCCACTGCTGCCAGAGCACCTGCTGCTGCTGCCGCCACTGGTATTGCCACTGCTGCTGTGACTGCTGGCGTTGTGCTGAAGGCGTCGTAAACTGTGCGCTTTCTTGGTGGCCTCCACCCCAAGGACCAAGGACTGTGGACACATCACATCCTTAAGAAGCCCTTTACGCCCCAGATCCGATTTCTGCCAGCTACGCAGAGCGGTGGACGCACAAAAAGCGTTTCCCCCGAATACCACAGGCAGCTGCCCTCACATGCAGGCCTGGGCGTACGTGAACCAAGCTCACAAAACTGTGTGTGTGGGGTACATGGGTTGTATGCGTTCGTGCACGTACGTGCACGAACGCATACAACCCATGTACCCCACATACTTGCATGCGCGTCCTCTCATGCTCGCAAAGATGCGTGTGAGTGTGAACAAGCAACGACAGGAAATGTGCGAAATACATCAGCAAAGCACCTCCACTCCTGAAAAGTAGCAAACACGGGGAGGGAAGACCACTACCTATGTGTTTGCTGAGCGCCCATCTGACCTGAGCGTACCTGGTGGCAAATCGGTGGTATTCAGGGGCTCCACATCATCCTCAACGCCGTGGTAGGTCAAGTAGAGGTAGTTTGTCTGCGCTGGAAACTCTGCAGCCAACGTGTCGATCTGCTTTATATATGGCTCCACGACCAGCGCCTTCCTGTATCTCCACACATCCTCCTCTGTCACCCGCAGGCCCTCCACAGGGCCCCCACCTACATAGGTTGCAATTTGGCGGTCGCTAAACCCTGAAGACAAAAGCAGACCTATCTTCCACGGTGCCAGCACAACTCCCCAATGGGCCTTCCGTGTGCTCTTGGCGCATACAACTTGCAAGCCGGTCTGACAACGCCATTCTGAGACTCCACCAGGACGTTCTCAACTTACCGTATTTTTTGACATAGAAGAGGTCCGCGCTAGTCAGCTGTGCTAGAGAGACCTTCGACAGGCTTTCCTTTAACTGCTGAATGTGCTCCAGCTTAGAAAGGAACCAAGGGTCTATGTGGGTGAGCTCATGCAGTCGCTCCACACTATAACCTCGCGCTAGCGCTTCCGCCAAAGCCCAAATTCTGCAAACGAACTCAAGTGACCCTCCGGCCAACAGCTACTCTCATTCGGATCTCCCGCTCGCACCCAGCAAGTGTAGATGACCGGAAAGTTACGCGGAGACCAGGTTGGGAGATTTAAATGTCCGCAGTACGCGCATGGTGCTCAAGAAAAAGAGCTCACCGATTTGCCGACGGGCGTGCCAGTTCCTGCTCCAATCTCCCCCGACTCGAAAGCAGCTCATTCCCCTCCTGCAAGCGGCCTCACACTCCAAAGACACACTTCTAAATGGCCCGCCAGGGAAATAGGTTTACGGCTATCAACAGACATTGACAATACGTTATGACCTCGACAAACTGGAAACTGATGAGACAAATGGGGACAACGACCGCAACAGATAACACAGCTCACCCGACGGGACATATCAGGGCACAACTTCTCGTCAAACCCAGTAGCGTCCCCGCTAACCATCCTGCAAAACAACAACGGGAGCACATACAATGCGGTGCCCTATCTTCCGTATAACAACCAAATACAGTGCTTTCTCTCCCCGCTCGATGTGGCTGTTCTAGTCATGGCTGAAGGTCCGCACTAGTATTTTCGTTGTTGCGGGCACTGGGGCACTAGTCTTCTCGTCCTCGTAATGATGAGGCAGTGTCTACAGTTCACCTCAGCGCTTTCTGCAGTGATTCCTCAAATGTCCGTCCTATCGCCATCACCTCACCGACGCTTTTCATTGCCGAGCCCATGAACGGATCCGCGTCATCAAACTTCTTCATATCCCATCTGCACAACCGCATTTAGACAAAAATGAACTCTGAGCTCTAATCCTTGGCAAGCAGCAGTGCACTCCATTCACAAGTCCCAGGTACTAAGAATGAAGAGGCATTTTCCTGCTGATTCACTTTGGCTGGCAACTGTTCCTGGTGCAGTGAGGTGCTCTTCCACTCATCATATGCATGCAAACCAACACATGCCTTCTCTCCCCCATCCGTGTTCCCGTGTCTGTGCCCTCTGGTTCTATGTTCCTGCATATGTGGGGTGCACTCTTTCACTTTCTACTTGGCTACTTCCGTTTCTACACTCCCCCCTGCGTATGTATGCATGCACAGACCTCCATGTACACGTGTGCCTGTTAGTTCTTCTGTGTTCAAGCACGGCTGTTCAAGTCTCCCCTGTGCCCTCTGGGAGACAGAACAGCGGGCACAGTGGACGCCCGAGCCGACATGTTGATGCTTTTCTGACCTGGGCACTTTTGTGACGATATAGTCAAAAGCGGGCTCGAAACAAGCAGTAGTCCCCTTCGTCACTTCATTTTTGAGTTGGAGCAAATCAAGTCCTGAATAAGCACAAGATAACACAAGTGGCAAGCTCTCCCTAGACAGCCTTGCTTCTGCATTCTATGTGTCGGTGTCTGCAGAACCCACCCCTTAATCCGCACACGTACGGACAGAGGTGCTCAGGCAACTGTGCGCTTCAAACGTCTTATCCCAAGACACCAGGATTAACCCCTTATGAACACAATCAAGAATACACACACGTAACATGTATACTTAACGTGGCCTCGAAATACTGATACACAGAACTCCATACAAAAACGGGCATCAAAATACACAACAGACATCCCTACACTTCAACCAATATTCACCATCCAAGAAGGCTTATGCTCAAGATGCAAACGAAATGTAATGCGTGGCTACGTAGTACTTCTGCCGCTTCTCACGACTTCTGCGAGACCTAAACGTGATCGTCAAGAGCCAGCACGACTGCAAGTTGACAATTACCTAGTGCAAGCTTCGCGGCAATGTACGCCAGCGGGTAGCCGGAAGCCTTGGATGCCAGCGCGCTGCTGCGAGACAGTCGCGCGTTCACCTAAGAATACAGTTCCCAGTAATTGGAAAGTCACAATCGCTTGTAGATTTCACTTCACCAGACAATGCGGCAGACAGGAGCTTCTCCAGGCAAGTCTACCTACTGTCTACACGAGCATTCTCAGCTCTACACCGTAAACGCATATGTAGGAAATTCGCTTGTGCATGTACCTCCACTATGTAGAATTTGTCAGACTTCGGGTCCACCGCATATTGGATGTTGCACTCGCCAACAATGCCAAGATGCCGGATAACCTTCAGGGCGCACTCCCTCAGGCGAAAGAAGTCGTCGTTGCTTAATGTCTAAGCACAGCGGTCGCATTTAATACAATGGACACCCAGCTACAACACGAGCTAACCAGGGGTAATCACGGAAGCACTTCCAACTTGGGGATAAACGTCGTGCAAATAACGGCACAGCATGACCAGGAACGGAATCACCAACGCTCCCAACAACAGCTGTTCGTGAGATACTTGTTCCATGCCCTTCGTGTCTGGGCACCTGGGAAGGAGCAACAACAATGGAATCGCCTGTATGGATTCCTGCGTAATGATTGCAGCAGACGCAACAGAAAAAAAACTAATGCCGCCGCTTGGGTACCTTTTTACACTCCTTAGTGTCTTTAACGCCTACGTACAACGTCGGCGTACGTACGTCTACGCTAACTACCCCTCCGAACAATGTTTCTAGTATCCACATTTACACCTCATTCTCACATCTCCAGGTTATGTTGCTCCGTGCGCCTAGCCAGAAACGGCCTCACACTAACACACCTACCGCTTCCTATCCCCGCTAAGCAATCCCCGCAAAGCTCTGGCCTTTTACTACGCCACAAACCTACTCCCTGCCCTACTGGATGCTGCTTGCCACCTCCGCTAGTTTTGAGAGCACTGGCGCGGAAGATAGACTGTGAAGCAGCAGCAAGAGTTGAAATTCACCTAGGGGGTCCAAATTTTCCATGTTACAGATGGTCACGCAGTTGTCCTTCGCATCCCTAACAACTTCATACTCGATTTCCTTCCAACCCTTCAGGCTCCTGTCTATGAATACCTGAATGTCAAAATTCAAAAATATACCCCAAACACGAAGCACCTCATCCAGAACACTCAATAAAGAACCCTAAATTCTGCGAAACAAATATGTGCACTGCGAATCCACACTTGGCTCGAGTGTGCAAAAGCATCCGTGCACAAGCGGCGCAGAGAGGTCTCGTCCTCGGCAAAGCCTGACCCGAGGCCACCTGCAGACACACTTACGCCTCAAAAAGTCGCAGCATTACGCCCTGGGTCTGTGAAACGTGCTTACAGCGAAATCTGTCCCGCACGGAACAACAAACGTAAGGCGTATTTACCAAGTGCGAATGCCGCGCGTATTAGAACTGGGTATCCAAGCTGTTTTGCTGCTGCAACTGCCTCCTCCAAATCCCTAGCTGCTGCTGATGGCGCCACCTCCACCCCTATCTCTTGGAGTTTTCGCGCAAATAGCTCCCGGTCTTCGGTAGCAATAATGGTCTGCATGGGATAAACACAACCGTCTCCACTTCAAGTAGTTCCTCTGCGCCATTTGGGGCTGATAAGGCTTTCCTCCTTGTCTACACTGCCGCTCACCTCTATTGGGGTTCCGAGAACTTGGCAGTCGTACTTCGCCAAAATCCCGGAGCGGTACAAATCGACGACACAGTTCAGGGCAGTCTGCAGCAATGTAGAGAGCAGCCATACTAACCTGATGAGTAGAATGCGTTATGGTGCAAGCAAGTGTAGCATCTGCGAGAGCGCCGCTCACCTGTCCCCCGAAAGAGCAGAGGACCCCTTGCGGTCTTTCACGGTCAATCACTTCCGTTACAAACTGTGGCGTCACCGGGACGAAGTACACCTGAATCAAAAATGGGGAGAGAAACAAAATGAAAATGAGACTAGTAACAAGAGGTGCAATACTGCGGTGGTGGGTGTAGTTGCAGCTTCCGTCCCAAAAGAGGGAGGGACAGCCCCAGTAGTCCTACCGGCTCTACGAAAAGTCAAAAAAGCCCTAGCCCCCGATGAAGCTGACCCTGTGAGCCATTTGCCTGGAGGTCTGGACTGTGGCGATATTTGGGTTGACTAGCACGACGAATACGTTGTGTTCCTTGAGGGCTTTTATAGCCTGTGATCCCGAGTAGTCGAACTCCCCCGCCTGCCCTATGCTTAGGCCCCCGCTGCCTGTAACATCCATAGCAGTACTGAGTAAGCAAACAAAATGTGACAGAGGGAATACCAGGAACCCAAAACACGGCACACACACAACCATTTCCGTGCAGCAGCTGGATATGCTAACGGCTATCCAACTGCATGTTGGAGCACATTTCGCTGTGTACCTGCCTTGCACCATTCCTAAATGTGCCTAACTAAATATACAGGTGCAGCCCTCACCAAGCAGCAAGACCTTTCTAAAGCCACCGGGAAACTGGTATGGTATAGTGTACAGCGTCCTTGCAACGATGCGCTGCTGCTGTCTCCGTAAGGAGTCGATAAACTCTTCAAAAAGAAAAAACGTGTCCGTTGGACCCCCTGAAGAGATACAAACACCGCAAGAGACCTATGATCCGGCTGCCGCTTCAAGTCCCCTGTCAACCGCACTTCTGATGCCTAAGCAGTGATATTACAGCTCCCGGCTCTCCCCCTTGTGCTCAGGGAATCGCGGTGTGAATGCTACAGTTGGAAATCGCAGATCCAAAGGCCGGTAACTCAATGCTTGGAGTCCAGAGCAGAAAACTCCTGCTCCGTGAAGCACAAGGCGATGACTTCACGAAGACCTAGTTCCCAAGCGCCGGCATTGGAAGACTGACGTGTCAGCAAAAAATTCGACACGTTGAGGCACGAACTACACCTGCACTTTCGACAAATGATTCTGACACTGCAAAAAGCACTACTGCGCGATCTAGAAATCGGCTGAGAGGAATTACCGGACGCCTCCGGATGAAATTGAACAGAGAAGTAAGGCATAAAGCGATGAGAAATTCCTTCGTTGCTTCTGTCGTTCGCGTTTACAAATAGTGGTGTGAAGTCTTCGGGGAGAGTCGCTGCGACAGATTGGGCAATCACGAATGCAAGCACACACACACCAGTAAACAATATTATATAAATTCATGACTGGGAACATAAAAGATATACGCATACACCCATCCACACGTACAAACACATCCACTAGAAATTATCATGATGAAAGAGCGAAGAAACTCTGCGCCTTGCATGCAGCAGGAAGAGCCAGAAATGCAGGCAACATAAAGTCTCCACTTGTGATTGCTTACACAAAAGCGAACACTCACATGCAAATATAACGCAGTGCAACCAGTTCTGTAACATCTCACACAAATGCGAACAGTCACAAAAAAAACACGTCGCAGCCAACTCCACAATTCTTCCACTGTTTGGACGTGAAAAAAGGTCCCGTAGGAAAATGATTAGTACAACTGTGTCCACTGTACATGGGAAGCACAGGAATGTTAGCACTACCTGTATCAACAGCGTAGCCATGATTCTGCGCCGTCATGTAGCAACGGGTCGTGCGCAAGTCCACTACGGGCTGGTTCATGCCTGTGAAAGAAGAAAACAGAAAGTAGAGAGTCACAAACAAGATATAAATAGTGGACCAACATTCAAAGGAACCTCAAAGAACATGCTTGAACATGCTTGCAGAGAAAAAACAACCCGGACTGAAACGACTAGTTTGTACTGCCGACCACAAAGAACCACGGATAATAAGCCGCGAAATTCATGACGATATACTGCGACACGAAGCGGAAAAGATTAGGAAGAAATCAAAATGAAAACAGGAGTCACTGCAAGTGAAGGTTAGCTTCACCCAGTGGCGCCCAGTGCCACCACCTTCACCAGATTGCAGTACTGCAGATGCCAACTCACCCCTGTTCCCAAACTTCATTTTGTAAGTCTTCGCCCCTGCAGCCAGGGCCAGTAGCTGATTTCCAAGACAAATACCGAATACAGGCTTCTCCTGGAGCAAAGCCTTCCTGCAAGAACGCCAGTTAACAACCGCAGTAAGTAGCAATAACCGGCAATAGCAGCACCAGGCACGAAGGCTCAACTGGGCCGGACTAGCAGCATCCCTGTAACTCAGCACGGCACGCCCGCCAGAGCAGATTTCAACACGTCAGTCAAAGAAACCACATGCGGGACTGCACCAAATCGAGAAACCACCAGCGGAGGCAAAATAAGTGGAAAAGCAAAACAATTCATGCATATGACAACGGAAAACAAAACGTGCGCAAAATAGGGAAGGGCGGCCGAACATGCGCTACGGAGACTGCTAGCCTAAGGCGACACACATATGCGCATACACATTCACGTGAGGAAGGCGAAAAGGCGAAGATACAGAGGCGCAGTGCACCTTACGCGATGTTATAAATAGTCGGCCGACATAGGGAGGGATCTCCCGGGCCGTTACTAATAAAAAGGCCGTCGTAGTCATCCGAGGTGAAGTCGTAGTCCCATGGGACAACCTGCACGCAATCAACAGTAAACGCACACCCGACACTTCGTGGATGCCTCCCTTGGCAGCACCTAGGACAACGCTCACATAGATACTGCAACTGCAGGGTGTTGCTTAACATCGTAGCCAACGATCTCATACAGTAGCACGAAATCCAGCATCATCAGCAACAGACATCGGCAGACAAATGTGGCTTCACAGACCTTAAGGACAACGTTGCATCCTTTGAAGTCCGTGTACAGGAATTGCCTGTAGATGTTCATCTTCATACCGCAATCTACAGCCAGAACTTTCACCTGGTGGCACTGTAGCAGCAACACACTCGGAACACCAGCATTATCTACAGTGCACCAATGCCACCAAAATCACAGTCACCCTAAGATCCACCGCAGTGTGCATAATGCACCTACGCAAACAATCGAGGGAGCAGTGGCAGAGGTAAAATCCGCAGCAGACCCAATTGCTGGACGCCCTGCCGATGCGCCTATGTCCAGATCCATCGCTTGATGACACTCACAAAGGGGTTCATTGGAGAGACGTAGACGCGAGGCTGCCTGCAAGAGACTTCGGCCACCAGGTTTCTGCAGTTGGGATCGTCGAATTCCAGACGATCGCCTGCTGCCTCAAGGGCAGTGACCCATGCCTCCAGTCTCGCCGCTCTTTCCACCCGCTGCTGCAGCAGTGCCATTAGGGCATCCGGTGAACTGGCACGTGACAGTACAGCCTGTACTGCCTGATGCGCAGTTACACGTGCCAACAGGTCTGCCGCTGATTGCTTTGCAGTGTCAGACCTCAGATATTCCTTCACCGTCCGCTCCTCTGATTCCGTCAACACTACGACCTTGCCTAGCATCGAACCGGACTGTACACAAAAAACAGCAGATACCATATCCACCCCACTGCTGCTGTTGTTGCATCCGCAGTGGTACTTCAATACACTCGTGGACCCGACAGCGATAACATCATCGTTCAACGGAAGCGCCGTGGCTACTGCACGCTCTGTCCTCCAGGAGGCGACACCTCCAGGGTCAGATACCACATCCAAAAAGACGTAGCAGCTTGTAAGATACAAAAAAGAAGAAGAGGGGCAAGCCGGAACTAGAGACAAAGCAATGCAGCCAAAAGTCAATCACGTCACCTATACGCAATGAATGACTTGCATGGAAATGCACACCACAAAAGTGAGACGTGCCACGGAGTATGACAAAGCGCCCGGAAAGCGAGTCATGCGAAGGGCAGGCGCCTTGCGCACGCCACACCTCCAAATTGCAAAATCACAAAGAAACATCGCGCACCTTAGTGCGAGGAACATGATGGAAATAGCATAAACAGGCATTCAGAGCAGGAGCGTGCTGTTGGAGAGGCAACAGACACATAAACGAGGAACAACCAAAAGTAAATGCCGCACCGATGCTGGGATTAAGAGATGATTCAGAGAAGCACGTTCTGCGACAACCAATGGGATCTAGGCACACACGGGCATTAAACGAGAAACTTGACACACGACCATTCAATGCGCTGAAACGAAAGTTTAGATGTTGGGCAGATTACACTACTGTAGCTTGCAAAAGCCGCGATAGAGCGGAAAAAGGACACTGAAAGAGAAGGGGAAAACAAGACACAGTTCATCAATCCAACACCAGCCACTCCCTACCCCACCTCCCCGACGCCCGCCCCTTTCATCCATTCATCTCAAAAAGGCACTGACTTCTCGTAAATGAATTGTAAGCGCTCTGGTGTCCACACCCCACAGCGCTGGTACTCGTTCACTCTCCAACCACTCGCCCAGCCTTTTCTCCGCCTTCCAGTGGGAGAGAGCAGCTGGTACGTAATCGGCTGCCAACAGCGCCGTGACATGTATACGGCGCCCTTCAAAGTGCAGTGGCAAACCCAATGAATCCTATAAACAGCGCCAGTAGAAGCAACTACGGCAGCTGTCAAGCATTTTAAACTGCTCCACGCATACAATGAGTCAACAAACGCCCCCTCACCACTCCGGCGAGCAGCAGCACACACGGACGGCAACAGCAGCGAGGCGACTAAAAGAAGCAAACGGAACGACGACTTTGGCAGGAGCTGTGCACGCCCCACAACTTCACCAGACGGCACTCCATAGTTGCCGACAAGAGGATAAGTCAGCGTGAGAATCTGCCCAGAATAGGAAGGGTCTGTCAGGGATTCGGGGTATGCAACCATCCCTGCAGCAGCAGTAACGACAGGATTGGCTGTATGAAGCGCAAAATTGCTGTTTTGTCTGGCCACCAGGAGGTGCAGCTGAACCGGGGAGGATCCTTAGCGGAACCATTAGAGGTTAAGGACGTCGTTGCAACACTGCTGTTTACCAGTGTTGAATACAACCTCCCCTGCAACAGATGTTTTAAATCCAAAGGAAATCCCTCCAAATTGCCGACCATCCTCCAGCTGTAGCACCCCCAGGCAGCCCTCATCTACGAAAAAAAAGGCAGAAAAACCTCCGCAGTCCATGCGGCATGCGGTTTCGGCGCAGCGCCGCTCCAGTAGGGAATCTATAGCCGAAATTATTTCTGCACAGACTACGGAATACGAGCTGTTCAGACACATAACGCCTAGCGTTGTGGGTTTCAAAAACCACGGGAAACATGCGCGGACCTACAGCTCCCATTCACCTTTCAGACGCCCCATAAGCACCTGCCGGGAGCGGGGCGCCAAACCTGGCGAGCAGTACTACTTCACTATCAAACAAGCACCACATGCTCCCGAACATGAAACTGCCTTTTATGCCTCGAAATAATATAGATCAGCTGGAGCAAGAGTTGTTTGCTGGCACGCTAGTCCCCAAGAATCGATGCACCGGAGACGAGCTAATGTGCAAGCAGATGTGTGGGGTGGCGCAGGACTTACCGTTGAGCCCAAGTGGCTCCCTCAGCCACTTTGCTGCTTGAGGAGATTCTTGTATCAGAGCCTCCTCTACAGCTGCGGCAAAAGCAGCAGCTAGCGGCTGCTCCCGCTCTTGCTCTTGGTGTTGATGTTGCTGTTGGTGCTGCTGTTGCAGCATCAGTAGCTGCGGTGGGGAGTTGTTTTGCATTGTCGAAACCGCGTAGAAAAACCAAAGGAAGTGGGCGCTGCTGCTGTTTCTGCACCGGCTGCCCGTGCGGATCCTGCCTGCCGATGAAGGGGGAGGCCCTCGTTTGAGACGGACGGTGACTCCGGTGCCGCAGCTGTAGCAACTTCGTCGCTCGTGGTGTTTATTCCTGTTATGAGGCCGCCTTCTTGAAGGAAGGCGCTCCAACGCCAAGCCTACAAAGAAGAAGCAGCAAAACCGCTGCTGCGGCCTCGTATCGCGCCGCCACTGCCTGCCGAGGAGATGCGGAAGTTGTAATGGTAAAAACTTGATCCTACCGCACACTTGCTCTGTGCGGCACGTAAGGCACAGAAACCTGTCTCCTATTGATAAGCGTTGTTAATGTAAGCCATAAAAACCAAAGGCAACTTTGTTTTGAGTGGAAGGCACCGCTCAATCAGCACAAGGCGATGAGGCGCAGTGGGGGGGAAAGCAGCGGCAGCTCCCGCTGCTGCAGACACCCCCCCGGAGCAGCAGCAGCAACAGCTCCTGCTCCAGCCCGGTGCAGACGAGGCACCGGTCAACACCAGCGTCGTCTCATGCGCGAGAAACGATCAACGGCCACCACACACAGCTTGTTTTTTTCTTAAATATCAACTGCTTGGCTTATATTGTGCCCCGTATGTTCTTCAGCGGCAGCTGCAACGCCACAGTTCACGTCGCCAAGGGCTGTGCCACTGAGGCTGAGCCACGACACAGTGTGTTGCTGCTGCTGAAGCAGCGGCAACTGATGATGGCAGACAATCTCATTCTTAGAGCTTTATTATAGGTGTAGTGTGCCAATTTGTAGTGGGAAAGAGGCAGGTACGCCGCGGAAGCAGCAGCATCAGCTGCTGCGGCACTGCCAGGAGCAGCAACTGCTGCGACGGGCCGTGCCGGCGGTGCAATGCGCCGTCCTTTTAGCCAATGGAAGGTATAGGGGGTTCTGCAGCATCTGCTGCATCAGGAGAAGCAGGAAGTGCTGCAGGAGAACCTCCACGTGAGCTGGAGGGAGTTGCAACGGGGAGTCCTGCAACTGCAACTGCTGCTGCTACTACGGCAAATGGTCGGCAGCAGGGGGACTCAACTACCGGAGGAACTGGATTATCTGAACATTTTCAGTCGCCTTGCTCCACGCAAGCGACGCAACGCTGCGTCCCAGCGGCAGCGGCGGAAGTGACGTCATCACCACCTGGAGGGTCCACAACGGCGACGCCGTCAAACACCCCCCGAATGCCTTCCGAGGTGGAACGGCTTCGACATTTCTTGGTGGATGAAAGCGTCCGGCAACAGCAGCAGCAGTTTGCGGAGCTATGTATGCGACTTGCGGCGCGAGCTGTGCAGCAGGCCCACACGGTGATTGCAGCGGCTGCACATTCATCCGTGGAAAGCGACCCGCTACAAGCAGCAGCAGCAGCAAGCAGCACCCTTGAGATAAGCAGGTCACTGGCTTCCGGAGGTATCGCCTCCACAACCCTTGGGGTGCGTCTGCGCGCTGCTGCTGCATCTTTTGACTGCGATGCGGCGGCAGCAACGGCGGGGGGCCAAAAGGGGTTCCACGAGGCGGGGACGGCCTCGGGATCGGCAGATTCGACTTCTGGAGCAAGGGGCGCTGCCCATAGCCCTAGCTGCAGCCACAAGAACGGTGGAGGCAGCGGCAGTGGCGGCGGCAGCGGCAGCAGCAGTGGCAGCGGCAGGGGCGGCAACAGCCACAACTGTGGCAGCAACGGCGGCTGCTGCTGCGGTCTTGGTGGCGCCGGCAGCCGCGGCCGTAGCCATGGCAACCTTTTAGGCGATCTAACGGACGGCGCAGGGCGCGCCTTTGGCAGACTGGCGGGAGCAACAGTGCAGGGAGCAGCAGGGGGAACGTGCGCAGTGGATGCCGGTGCCAGTGGGTCTGATGGAGCAACACAGACAGCAGCTGCACCAGTAGAATGTGAAGCGGCAGCAGTTCCAGCACATAGATCTTCGCTTGCCGGGGGCCGTCGCCGGATCTCGATCAACAGTTTGACATCCACTGCAACTGCATGTGTGGAGGCCGCAGCAGCTGCGGCGGCAGCCGCAGCTGAGAAGCGCCTTCAGCTCAATTTGTTACGACTGAAGAGCAACAGCAGTTTGTTGATGACAGGATCTGATATTCGGGTACTGCTGCAATGGCGACAGGAAGATGTGCTGCTGTACGAGCAGCACGAGCTGCTCAGGCAGATCCACGAGAGAATCCTGCGGCTGCAGCACAGGCGGAGGCAACGTCTTCATGCGCAGGAGCGCATGCAAGAGCAGCGCGGCAGCTTCCTTCCACATGTACTGCTGTTGGACAGCCCAGTGGCTGTTCTGTCGCCTGTTAAGGAGGCAGCAGCGGCAGCAGCAGCTGTAGACCAGCGTCAACAGCAGCTGCGCCGCTGCCGCGAGTACCGCATGCTGCATTCCTTTGCCGTGCAGCAGCTTCTGCAGCTGTTACTGCTCTTGGGCCTACCACACTTTGCGGCGAAATTGGCACTTGCAGATTTGTTTGAGGAAGCTGGGCTTTGTGCCTTGGGAGCCATTGGCCAGAGAAGACTAGAGGAATGGGAAGCAGCACACGCGATTGTCGCCGCCGCTGTTACAGCTGCCGTTACTGCCACTGAAAAAGCGGCTGACACGTGCCCTAGGGATGCCCTGGCGTTAGGCCCTCCGAATGGCCACGAGAAGGGCAGTACTGAGGCTGACCCCAACAGCAGCAGCAGCTGCACCACCTCAAGTGCTCCAGCAGCTGCGGCGGTGAAGCCGCCGCGCAATGCATCAGATATGGCTGCAGCAGCAACAGCAGCAGCTGCCGCTGCTGCCACTCAGTTCGGTGGCTGGAACGGATCGTGGTTCATGCCAGAGTCAGCGGCAGCAGCTGCTGCAACGGCAGCAGCACAGGCAGAAATCGCAGGTCTTACGGAAGCTGCAAGAACTGCAGCATTGTCAGCGGCATCGGAGGGTGCGGTGTTGCGTTGCTGCGCCACAGCAGCGAGACTGGCCGCAGCAGAACAAGGTGGTGGGACTGGGGGAAAAGCCTGCAACGGCAGCAAGCTTACGTTACCCCTAATGCTATCGCGTGTGTCTTACGTGCATTACCATTCTCTGCCACTCTCCGCTCCATCGGATTGGATGTCATTGCAAGATGTCGCGCACTTGGTAAGAAGCGGCAACTGCAATTTTCACGCCGGCATCGGCAGTAGTAGGGTGCTAGTTGCGCCATATGAAGGCGTTGTATCAGCATTTTTATGAAGCCGTGGTAGTAGCGAGTAAAGCAGAGCTATTTGTTGTGCCGCCCGCACTGGGGGGATAGCGGCGGCAGTTGTATTATTGACGAGAGGTGCACGCCACGAAAAGTCGACAGGGGCTTCACTGTGTTTTGCACAAAAACTGTAGGAATGCTTAGGCAGCTTGGTGGGAAGCAGCTGTAGCGCTCGTAGTGTTAGCTTGGATTTTTAGGTGCACAACCACTAGAGCAGCATTGCAAGCGGGAACGGAGCGCAGCAGCAGGTGAAGCGTCAGGACAGGCAAGGGCACGCGGGTGGCATGTGATGGCCGATAGAATAGCATAGTGGAATGAAAATAGCAGAGGTACAAGGAGAGCAGTAGCTAGGGGCGTAACTGTAAATGCTGCGGCATCTTGGCGAGCAGGGACAAAGGCAGAAGCAGCAGATGCGACTGTAGCTGTAGCTAGCTCCGCAACCGCTCTATGTGTTTGCGCTGCGGCAGCTTGGTGAGTAGTAGCAGTAGCAACTGCAGAATGCTGCATGGCGGTGGCCACAGTTCGGCAGCAGCAAATGGTATAACGGTAGCAAGACATATGATGGAACGGCGGGCTAGCAGCGGGCCCAGCAGCAACGCAAGAGCAGCAGCTTGTGCTTGTGGGCATGTGGGTGTCGTGTTGTTCCGTTGCAGCTCTCCTCACCGAACGAACCATCTCTTGAGCCATTGATGCTGGTCCTTTTGCCTCGCCGGCTGAAGTATCCTTGTCAACATGATGATACTTCGAAGTATGTTCCCATATCTGTGTGAGCGGGTGCACCCGTGACGTGCTTTGGCCTTTTCTTGTGCGTTAGTATGACTGATCGCATTAGCATCATGCATCTGGGTCCCGCTTGCCGCGGTGTCTTGATCGCTAGTCAGAGCGCCAGTTGCAAGGCTTTTGCGCAGCAGTGTCACTGCCGAAGGGCGTCCTCATTGGCGACCACTGTTGCTGCTGATGTGGATTTGCACAGACAAGCCGTGGTGGTTGCCCACGGTCAGGCTATCTGTTTGGCTTCACCTCTGCTGGTGGAGGCTGTGGAAATCGCAGCAGCAGCAGCAGCAGCAGGGAACGCATTGACCGGCGAAGGTGCAGCGGATAAGGCGCCTTTCTTGCTACCCGGTGTTCAGCCACGAAACCGCGGGACGGCGGCGGCGGGACGTGGTGTGTGCCGGTGCGGCAGCTGCTGTTTATGCAGGAGGAGCAGCAACGGCTGGCGAGTTTTGGGCCCAGGCACCGCAGCGGTGGAGAGCAGCAGTATCAGAAACTTAATATCCCTTGGTGCGTGGGAGAAAAGTTATCCCACTTTCTCGGTGAGGGGACTCTTGGTTGTTAGTCTGATGGCTCAGAGGCATCTGCTGCTGAAGGCAGCGGCAGGAGCAGCAGCGAATGCGCTTGCGGCTGTTGCTGCTGCCGGGCTGCGCACGAAACAGATTGTGCTGCAGTCCAATGAGCCCCCTCTGCGGCGTTTTTTTAGGCTGCGGCGCTTCTTGCAGCAGCAGCGTTCGCAGCGGCGGCAGAGGCAGCAGCAACAGCAAGAGCAGGATCGCCAAGAGCTACAGCAACAACGACAACGCCAACATCAGCAGGGGCATCAGGCGCAACAGCCGCAGCAGCAGGAAGAGCCACAACACCAGGGGCAGGGGGAGCAACGCCAGCCGCTGCAGCAGCAGCATCAGCCGCAGCAGCAGGAACAACAGCAGCAACAGCCGCAGCAGCAGTTTCAGCAGCAACTACATTTACAGCCGGAAGAGCGGCGGCGGGAGCAGCAACAGTCGCAGCAAGAGCTGCAGCCACAGCAGCAACATCAGCGGCTGTCCCAGCAGCAATCAGAGCAGCAGCATCAACGGCAACAGCGGCGACGGCAGCAAGAATCGGACGCACTTTCGGGGGACGAGGAGACCTTGCTGGCTGCTGACATAGGGACGGCGGCCACGGCTGCTGCTGCTGCTGCAGCAATGACAGATAGGGACTTTGTCGGGCGTCCTTCACGGATGCATTGCGATGGCTGCAGTTTGATGTGGCTCCGGGTTATCCGCGAGAGCAGCAGTAGTAGTGACCACGGTTGCAGCTGCTCTTTCGCCGCAGCTGGGTGCCAGGGGGGGACCCCTGGAAGGGGTTCGATTGCGAATCGGCAGCATCGACAGCAAGAGCAGCAACAAGGGGAGAAACCTGATTGTTCGGGTGAAACACAGACGGGAGACAGTGCCAACACGGCAGCAGCAGCAAAAGGCAGGGGTACCTCAAGGCGAATGTCGACGACGGAGGCAACAATCGCAGCAACAGCAGCTCAGCCGCTCCGGTGTAAACGGCCCTTACGAGCGGCGGCAGCAGCAGGAAGAGGCTCTGCGGGGTTGCAGAGCAGTCCGACGCCGTCAGGGAGACGCAGCAGCAAGAGACTGGCAGCTGCGAAGGGAGGTGCAGGTGCGGCAGCTGGCGTTGCTGCGCGTGTCATTCTTCCCATTGCGCGGCCGCAACCTCGCAGATCCAACAGCAGCAGCGGGAGCGGAAGCAGTAGCAGCAGAAACGGTAGCAGCAGTAGCATTACAGCTCTGCCAAGGGACGGCGGCCGCATTGAGTCAGACACGGCAGCACCGCCAGAAGCAGACAGACCTGGCGATGATGCAGTTGCCGTTGGTGCTGCAGAGTGGCCTCCAGCCGAAAGTCTTCAGCTTGGATCGCTAACGATTGTAAGCGTCCGACAATGGCTGCGTCACTTGACCGGCGAGTCGCTGGAAGATCAACAGCGAAAACAGCAGCTACAGCAGAAGCTGCCATTAAGTGCAGCGGAGAGCCACCTTTACGCAGTTGCCGCGAGGAACCGCTGCGTCATGCCAAAGGAATCGTTGCCGCTGCTGCTTTGTGTCACGAAGAGCGACAACCTACCGGGGATCCCAGGGGCTTTGGGCTCCAGTAGCAGTTGCAGGAGGGGCAACAACAGCAACGGCAGCGCAGCAGCAAGAGTAGCAGCAGCAGCTGCAGCGGATGTGGGGTCGTCAGAGCTCGACGCTGCTGCTGCTGCGGTGTTTGCAGATGCTGGAGTTGCCGCGGCACTTCCAGTTGCCGGCGCAGCACCAGACCGTGGGCTGTCGCAGCGAGCACCGTCGCAGCGCCTGGGCGATACAGGCGAACCAACGCAGGGAGCGGGGGACACTGCAGCTCGCAGCAGGAACTTTATTATTCCCAACAGACACGCTGTGCTGTTTTCTTTACGTGGCCGTTGCATCAGTAGCAACGGCTTGGCAAATACTAGCAGTAGCCAGGATAACTCCAACCCACGTGGAAGGGTGGTGCCAAGTGCTGCTGGCAATAACGGTGCCTGCTTCAAACCATGCGGCTGCATCTACCGTTGCGTAAACGGCATCAGCGGCAGCTTCTGCGAGGGTGTTTGCAGCAGTATCGAGAGCTGCTGCAACGATACAGATGCCAGTAGTGCCCTCAACTTGAGCAATAGTAGGGCTGGCTGTAGAAATGGCATTAAGGTGTTGGTTGGCTTCGGCCCGCCATTCCCTGTAAGCGTCCAAATCCATTTTACACGAGAGACTGAAGGGTCGCGGGTACAGAAGCGCTTGGCTGTGTTACTGCGCCTGCAGCAACAGCAGCACCGGCAACAGCATGCTCACATGTCCCAAGGGCAGCAGCAGCCAGTCAGTGAGGTTCAGCCGCAGCAGCGTCGTCGTGAACTCTACCAGCGCCACCAGCACGAGGATTTTCACCAGCAGCAAGGGCTAGGTGCTCGGGGAGAGCAGCAACGCAGGCGCTTTCTACAGGCCGTGGTGCAACAGCAACAACTGGTACAGCACCACAACCACATGTTGGATCAAGAGGAGCCAAGAACACTGCACGAGGCTATTGCACTTGTCTTGAGGCAGCAGCAGCAACAGCTGCTACATCAGTACATGCAGAGCGAGTTTTGGGGGTCATGCGTTTGTGTATACGCTCCGACTAACATCTTGCTTCCCGCAGAGCTACAGTTGCAGCTACGGCAGCAACAGAGGCTGATGCAGGCCACAGCAGATGCTTTGGGAATTAGAGGTCGTGGTGCAGGGGCTGCAGCAGCAGCGGCTATTGCAGCTGCAGCAGCTGCGGGGGGGCGTCCGTTTGTTCCTAATGGGTCTGCAGAATCAGCAGTAGAAGGAGTTATCACGGCGGGCATCCCAGGCGTCGCGATTTTCCGTCCCGTGCTTACAGCTGCTGCGCTGGCGGCTGCTGCTGCGCCTCCCGTTGATGCTTCTGAGGATCCCGACGGAGCTGCTGCCGCTATCGGTTCCATTGGCGGAGCAGGGAGGAGGCGTGCACCGCCTTTAGATATTTTTGGGGACGTCCAGTCGGGGTTCGCTGCTGCTGCTGCACTTCTCCAGCAGCAGCGTATCAACGTGTTCTGCATGGAGTCTTTCAAATTACTGCCTGTCACTTCGCTGTCGTTACTTGCTCGGCAGCAACAACTGAACCCACCACAGCAGCAGTGCCAGCAGCAACAACTTCTGGACTCAAACGGGACCCAGATATTGCCTATTACTTCTGCTGACGACCAAGAGGACTGCGAAGAGCAGCAACAAAAACTGCAACAAGTGTTACAGCACCTGCTGCAACACATGCAGGAGCAGCAGCAGATGCTCAAGGAGCTGGTTTCTTCTCCCTTGCTTCTTGATATGTCTGACCGTAGCAGCTACCCTCCCGTAGAAGAGCAGCAGCAGCAGCAGCAGCACCTCCATGAACCGTCTCTTCCCCGCACACACCCGCGAAGGATGCAACGATGGCCGCGACAAGAAGCAAACGGCAGGGGTCGTCGCAGGCGCACGAGCAGCCACAGGTGCAGCAGCCACAGCAGCAACAGCAGCGCGGAGCAGCAAAACGAGATGAGCCCGAGCATATGGAGCAGCAGCAGCAGCTGCACAGCATGCAGCGACAGTGATACTAGCCCCTTCTCCATTACGATGGAACCCGGCGGGCCCTCACCCATGGGGAGGGCAGCCGCAAAAGCAGCGGCGCCAGCTCAGGGATGTCTTCCGTCGTCTTTAGTGCTGCCATTGCGGCCTCGCTCGCAGCATCACCAAACTAGGACGACAACGGCAGCGGTGGCAATGGCAGCTGCAGGACAGGGTCGAGGCAGCCCAGAGGATCAGGATTCTCCACTAGGTAGTGCAACGCCGGCAGAAGGGACCAGGAGAACTCACAGGACAGCTCCGCCTCCTCCCCAGTCGAAGTGTCTCTCAACTCCTGAGCCTCCATCGCCGCTGGCATTCCCTCCAGCAGCACTGGCAGCGCGGAAGCGGCTTGCTGCTGCAGTACTTGCTGCGGCAGCAGAGCTCAGCAGCAGCAGCAGCAGCAATAACAACAACGGCACTAATACAACCGCAGCAAACTCTCGAGAAGCCCCGCCGTCTCCATCCTCCACGACAGGCAACGCGTCATGCAGCAGCAGCAGACCAAACAAACACCGCAACAGGGAGGGCGGGCAGGTCCTTCAAGACGAGGTGCAGGAAAAGAAAGAAGAGGACATGCGCCAACAGAAGCAGTCGCAGCGTGAGCAGCAGCATCATCTACCGCGGTCGCATGCTTGTGGTGGCAGCAAGCGTGAGTGCGGTCTCTCATCTCTTCCAGAGCAGCAGCAGGAACAAGGAGTGCAGCATCGGCTGGTGCAACAGCAGCAGCACACTGTGGTCATCCCCCTGTGCAGGAGATATGTTCATATCCCACTACTGCGACAGAAACCACTTCTAACTTTCACAGATACACGAGAGGCCATGCTAAACTGCTTGGGTTCAGAAGCGCCGAGCGGACAGCAACACTTGACGGGGAGGCAGCAGGAGCAGCAACAACAGGGATCTAGGCGATTAGGTTTGTCTGCGGCTCTATTGGGGGAAATTTGCTGCTTCTTGACGCTGCCAGATTTCTTCGTTTTTAGACAGGTTAGCGAGCAGCAGGTGCAGCATCGCAGCAGGAGCAGCAGTCGTAGGAATGCGTTTTTTCGCTTCATGTGTGCTGCCCACTTTAAGTGTCAGTTTGTGTCCGTGCGGGTATGTGTACGTGCCCCCTGTGGCGGCTATGGCGGGTGCTTGCTGTCAGCGAGTTGGGGTTTTTGTATAAACTGAATGGGGGAAGTAACTTTGTGAGTCCTCAGAATCTTGGCCACCCACTGTGTAGACCTCATGTTGTCTGTTCTTTCGGGCTATTCCATGCCGAAATCGTTCACACGCACCATTGATTACACGTCCATTTCTAGCTTTTTGAATCTATTCTTTCCCGTCTCTCTTGTTCAGGTCTGCCGGGCGCACTGCAGTGCAGCTGTTGTGCATCGCTACACGAGTATTTTGCGGTTACGGGAGGAGGATCTGGAGCTGCCACGCCTAGCAAGCTACCTTCCACTACTGCAGCTGGCCAGAGAGATTGACTGCAGCCTGATCACCGTACCAGGCTCCGTGTCGCCACTAGTGAGGCTTCCATTGGACCTGACTGGAAAGCCAATTGTGCTTGTGTTACTGCTGTAGCACAGTAAGCTGTTGCTAATTCAGCTATTGTAGTGCTTGTTGTGACCGCTGCTATTAGTGCTGCTGCTGTTGCGTCTGTAGGCTATTCAGTTTGTAGCGGCGGTGAGCGAAGAGGCGCGCAAATTTACGTTTTCGATCGCTGCTTATTCGAATTTGGCCAAGTCAGTGTCGAGAGCCTTTGGTGAGAGCAGCAGCGTACACGTTGCAGCATTGCTGCCAGACTCCAGTGGTCTCTCTGCCGTTCATTCTGTTGGCTGGTTCTTGGGTTTCTCCACACTTCGCGCGACCTTGCGGGCGTATACCTGTCCTTTGTGCGATGTCCTCACTTCCGCATCATTTTGCCTGCGCTTTATCTGTCAGTTTTCTCTTTGTTTTTCCGATCCCTTTTTACTCCTCTGCAAAAGCGCTTGCTCCCCCTCTTGGTTTTATTCTTCCGCTGTTCCTCGTGTGCTTTTAGTGGGGTTTGTAATTGCTTCATTGCATTATTTGGCTTTTTCGCGTGTTCCCATGATTTTCGCCTCGTTTTCCTGTTGCCTTCTGGCCATTCCTTATTTGCTCCACCTTATATTGGAATATGTTCCCCACGAATATGTTTTGTGTGCTATCTGTATCGGCTTTTGCTTTCACTATCATCCCCTCGTTTTTTGTGTCACCTCAGCTTGTATGTCTCCAAGTGGCGGCATCGGTTTACATGATCCCCATTATGCCAGGATTCCTTCACAATCCTCTTCGTTTGTATTGTGGAATGTTGTGTACTTTTATACTTAATACTTCCGTATATTGCTTTCTTTTTTCGTATGCGTTGTTTCTGTGTTTATGCCTGTGGCTTCACGTTTTTGTGTCTTTGTAATTCTCGTCGGTATGGCTAGTATCTTGCTCTAAACAACATCATTTGTCCTATTTTCTCGGCATATCCGTTCTTGCCGCTGCTTTCTATAACGTGTGTTTTGCTGTCTCTGCTTGGCTTGTCTGCATGCTGCTGTAGCAGAAGTTAGCTGCATCATGTCGAATTGCTAGCTTCGTCCCGCGCAGTTTTTTGCTTTTGCTAATGCAGGTAGAAAGCCAGAAGTGGTTATATTGAGTGAAGAGCAGCAGCCGAGCCCCCCTTCGGCGCCCTCTTACCCAGGAGGGGAGCGCCATTCCCCGCAGCCTCCTCCGAACGATGAGCAGTTGCAACGGCCATCTAACGTGCAGCAAAGGCATCGGCAAGAGGAAGAGCAGCGCCAAAGCGAACGATACGTGCAGTTGCAGCAACATTTGCAGAGGGAGCAGCACGAGCGACAGCAACAGGGCCAACAACGGGAACACCAGCAACAGCAGCATGAGCAGCAGCAACAGCAGCAGCAGCCGCTCGTGCAACGGCAGCACGACAATCAGGAAGTTTGGGGAAATCGACGCCAGCAAGGACAACCCAGTCATATCGAGCACCAGCAACAGCAGTGGCAACAAGAGCATCTCGCACGGCAACAGCATCTGCAGTGGCAGCACCAGCAACAGTATCACCAGCACCAGGGATACCGGCAGCAGCAGGAGCAGGTAGGCCAGGGCAGCACTCCTCATCAGCTCGGGAGCTGGACACAAATCCCGGCTCAGCCTCAGCAGCAGATAAGCCCAGCACAGCAGCGGCAACTTCAGCAGCTGCAGTACCTTTTGCAGCAGGAGCAACCACCTCAGCCGCAGCAGCAACAGCAAGAGTCAGTTAGGAGTAGTGTCATGTCAGCTCGCGAGCCAGGATTGCAGCGACAGCAGGAAGTACTGCCGTTGCCTGTCGTTGCTTCACGCAGCGAAATGCAGCAGCGTCAGCATTCTTGGCAGGAGCAGCAGCAGCAGCAGCAGGAGCAAACGGATGCACAGCCGCAGGCCTCGCCGTTAGTGCATGAACAGATGCCGGTGGCTGAGCAACAAATACAACAGCGCGGTGTACAGCAAGCAGAGGTGCCGGTGCCCCACCACATGTTTATGGACCGTTTGCGCGCCTCTCTCTTACTTCCCAGGCTAGCGTCCCTGTATGCACCCGATACAGCTGCGGCAGGTTCACCCTTGGCGGCCGCTGCCGCAGCAGCTGCAGGTGCCACGGCAACGAATTTCCTGCTACCACTCCTCAGGCGGATAAGTGAAGTCGGAGGTTCTCATGGTGAGGTGGCTATTTAGTTGTCTGCCCTCTTTTTTGTTGTGTCGCCGTTGGCGCATCAGGGTGTTTATTTAGCGTCTTCTTTCTGCATATTTTGGGGTTTGCGCTACACATGCGTAAACTGTGGTGCTGCAGTGCCTGTCGTTCCCTGCAGCGCTGCAAACACTGTTGCTGTTGGAAGTTCTGGAGGCGCACCATATGATGAATCACGAGCCACATCAGCAAAACCCCTTTCATGATGAGCAGCAACAGGCTGAATTCGCCCAACAACATATTCAGCTTCAGCAGCTGCTACAGCAGCACTTGCAGGAGCAACTCCAGCAGCAGCTGCAGCAGAGCGTCCCTGCCCTGCCACGGGATGCAGCGGCAGCGCCAGGTCAGCAGGAGCAAAATTCACCGCAGCAGCCACAACCTGAGCAGCATCTGCAGCAACGGCGGCAGCAAGGGCAGGAGGAGGAAGCGCCTGGTCTGGCGCGTCAGGCAGAACCACCGTCGGGAACGGCGGATGCCAGGCCACACTTCCTTTACCAACAGTTTCTAGTGACGGGTCAAAGACGTGCCCGGATTACGCCATCGTCCCTGCAGCAGCGGTTGCAGCAACAGCATCAACAGCAGGAACCGGAACAGCAGCAGCAGCAACAGCGGCAGCAACAGCAGCAGCCGAGCAGCCCTGCAGCAACAGAAGAAGCTTCTCCGTCCCCAAGCGGTTATAGAACGCCGGCAAGCGAGACTCAGCGGCAAGCCGCAGCAGCAGCAGCTCGTGATGCTTTTGACAGTGCTGTTGCCACTGCTGGCGCAGGAGCAGCAGGTGATGTGCCTGCAGGAATACGAATGTGGGATGATCGAGGGCTGGTTGGGGGATTACTTGGTCCTTCGTTGGACGGCAGGAGTCTACCTCCAGACATAGCAGCAGCAGCAGCTGCAGCAGCTTTAGCAGGGCATATGGCTCAGCTTGATGTTTACGTACACGGCCTTACACCAAACCCCCTCACTTATCGGATGCCACTAGCTGTGCCATTCAGGTCAGTAGATACGCAGTGCATAGACATAGAGCGGGCTGAACAGTAACGTGCCAGCATGCAGGTGCTTGTGGTATCACGGCTAGTAGCTGAAGAGGCAAGTTTGCTCTTCAGTGGGAATAACGGTTAATGAGGAGGACATAGAGAATAGCTCAAGAGTGCCATTTCCCATGCAGGAAGCTGATGAGGTACTACAAGGACCAGGCCGGCCTGCGTGACGACGTTGTGGAGTTTTTGTGGGTCAAGCGAAAGATTGTTACGAGAGTAAGTGCGCATTCCGCAGGCTGAGTGTCCATTTATATGAGCTATGGGTTCATCTAGGGCCGAGGCGTTCTTATGGTTCGTAGCATGTGGAAGACAGTGTTTGTGCGGCTTGCAGCCGGGTCGAAGTTCTCAGAATAGGCCAGTAGTAGCGTGCATCTGGCTGTTGAAGAGGTATGGAGCTCAGTAATTTGGGTTTGGAGGGTTCGTGTATGCTCTCTCAGCTCTTGCCGGATTTGAGTCCCTTGGATTACGGTATGCAGCGGGGACAGCTGCAGCTCTATGCTGAGTCCAGGCCATCTCTACAGTATGCCCAGAAGGTTTGGATATCGCTTTTTATTGAAGGTAGGTGCGACCAGGGTTTTTGAGCAACGCATTGAGTGACCGTAACTTGTAGGGCCAAAGATTTAAGGGGGATTATTCACGGTTTGTATTTTAAATCTCGCACACGGATATTAAGGGACACGTTTGAGAGTTGAAGGCTGACGATTTGTGATTTGAAGGCTCTGAGGAAGCACCATATCTTCCGCGTCTTCGTTTTAATGCAAGCATGATGACGCCCTTTTCGTAAGTCCTGAGCCACTTGTGTATAGGAGCATTTGTATGGACGATTAGCTGTAAGCGGTGTTTATGGCCCAGCGGCTCGAAAAGTTTAGAGAACAAGCCAGCTTACCGCCAAGTTGCCCTACCTCTTTCGATGCTCTCTTCTGTGGTCCATGTGTGTACAGCCGTCTATCTGAGAGCTATAGCAGGAACGTAGGCGTCGATGAGGGAGACTTACTGCTATTCTATTCAGTACGTTGCCTGGTGCGGGCGTTGCCCATGCTGGATACGTTGCAGTTGCTGCTGTTGGATGTAACCAGGAGAATGGCTTGTATAGTAGAGCATGGCCGGCATACTGCACCGTCTGCAGCGTGGTTGTTCTTACCCCTTTTCCTGTTGCAGCGGGAACAGTATACCGTGCAAATTAACCTGAGCAAATGCCCGCTGGACTATGACATCAGGGAGAACGACGTGGTCAAGGTCAGTCCGCTACGGTAGCATCGACAGTTTTAGCGTTCGTCTGTTGCATTTTCGTGTTGTACTTCTTATGTTAGAACATGTTCATCTTTATTGGTGGTGTTGACTTTGATGACTTAGTTTCAGCTGATGTTGCAGGCGGAGTTGAGGCCGGGCGCAGCTATTCCGACGGCGCTGGCTGAGCAATATGAACAGGCCCGGCGCCAGCAGCTGTACCGCCAGCTACGCTAGCTGCAGCAGACTGTGGCGGCAATGACAGCAGCGTTTTTGGCTGCATTAACACAATTTTGGCAGCCCTTGTGACTGACGTGATAGTACTCCGGCTACACCAGCAGCAGCGGCAAAGGGATTCGGTTGTCGGCCAATTGCAGCGGCAGTTTTTGATACCGCGGTTACCGCGTGCAGAATTGCTACGGGTGAAGTCCCGGAATCGCGCAGGTGCATTATTATTGCGTCCCTTTGTTGGTTGATTTTTTAAATGATCTTCTAATTTTTTTGACTTCCTGTTTGTCCCAATTCCCACTTTGAAGCGTTGAAACCAAACTGATGATCGCTTCTTTTTCAGTACAAGGAAGGCCTCCTTCAACCATTTCAAATTTTTGGCTTCAGTTCAGTACTTTAACTTTGGTATTGAAATGTGCGTTCCCGAATTGGCCGCAGAGACGCTGAAGACAGAGGAGGGAAGTAGCTGCTGAACAGGCGTGGAAGAACACTATCGTCGGCAGCAGACGTTGCAGTGGTAGCATCTGGGGTGTTCAGGCAGGCGTTGCGAAGCGTTTTCGTTGTGTTTGGGATAACGCTCATTGGCTTTCAGCCAAGGTGCAATGCTGGGGCTCACCTCTAAGGAGGAGATGCTAGTTAGTACCTCTTAATAGGTAATCTTTTCAGCAGCTGCTTTCCTTCCCTGGCGTAGTGCATCCACGGCTTCAGATTACTTAGAGGGTTAGCACATGAGATGGTTCGACGAGCTGTAGCCAGTGGAGGACTTACAGGACCTCAAAGTCTGGTTTCGCACACGACGATGTCTGCGGCGATGGTAGACATGGCGAGGAGACCACAGAAACACCAGTGTAAAAAGTTGCTGCTTTAGAAGCCGCTGCAGCCCTAGTGGTTCAGCCAACAGTGGCGTCAGTGGCAGCCACAGCGAGACCATGGCAGTTACAATAGAAGCAATAGTACTTGCCACGGCAGTTACTTCGGTGATCTCTTCAGCACAATGGCAGCCATAGTAGTAACTACGGCTGCTTCAGCGACGGTGTCGGGCGGTGTGAACTATAGTTGCGGCGGCTGCCAAGCTCAGAACAACGCGCCACAAGTTTACTACAAGGCTTTTCAGTTCGTAATTTAGTTTTGAGTTAACTACGTTCAGTTTGAGGTCCCGTCTAAGGTCCAAGCGGCTGCCTCTTCGGCTGGTACCGCCACTCTGCCTTGGCTGGTGGCGAGCTCACTGCCTCCCCAATCATGAATCCTTGAACTAAGTGCCTGTAATGCCGAAATGCACGGGTAAATGGTTCTACTATTGGAGCTGTAGCGGCTGTTGTTGCATGCAGCAGGAGCAGCAGCAGAGGCTTCTGGCGGCGCCTGTAACTGAGGCTATTTGGTTGTTGCTCAAGCTTATGGCAAAACTAGATTGGCGAAAACAGCGTAACGATATATGTGAAGGACGCGGCTTCATTCGTTAACCCTTAACGAACATCAGCGGCAGGAATCAGCAGCAACCTGCTGGCGCCGCCACGTCAGCAGCAGCGACTGCAACGGCCAAGGCCCCAGCAACAGGAGAAATGAAAGCTTGAACAGTTGAGGAAAAAGCTAGGAGGTTGACAATCCGGCTTGTCCCTGCAGCAGAATGCTGCCATGCAAATCTGAGACACAGTGGCGGTCCCTCATGCAACGGTGTTCGGTGGGAGTAGCAGCAGCACCAGCAGCTGTTTCCTAGGCGCTCTGGCGCCTCCCGTTGCAGCTGCTTTCTAGTGCTGAGATGATTCCGCTTGGCGAAGCAACTAGCCGCTCCCTTCCACAGCGTCATAGGTAAGTACAGCAGCAGCAGCAAAAGCAGCAGAAGCATAGTGTTAGCCAGTCGCCGAAGCTTTGGCGAGCCAAAATCTGTAACTTGCTGGGGATGCTTTTGCTGCAGAGGAAGGGTGAATAGACGTCGTGTTGTTCGCAACGGCAGCAGCTATAGCAGAAGCAGCTGCAGCAGCAGCTGCAGCAGCGTCCGCAGTAGCAGCAATGACAGCTTTGTCAGCAAATCCAGCGGGGAGGCCGCATTTTCCCTTGAAGCTAGCAGCAGCAGCAAGCTTTTAAATCGGTTTTACGGTAATGAGCTGCAGCAGGATCACCAGCAGCAGCAGAGCACAGACTCTGAAGCAGCGGAGACTCTGTGGCCACCCGGTCATCAGCAGCGGTTGCAACACGAAAAGCAGCAGCTACTAGCTGGGTTTTCCTCAGGCAAGTCCAGCCCACTGCAGCATCAGCAATCCCTGCAGCAGTTGACGCTGGAAAAGCAGCAGGAGAACGGGTGCTGTTTGCTCCGGTGGTTGCCTGTACCTGCTGACGGCCTGGCCGTGTTTGTTGTCACCTATTTGGCCTACGCATCTCTTTACAGCACTCGAAAGCCCTTTAGTGTGGTCAAGGGGGCTCTCAATGCTTCGGTCGGTCTCTCGTCGCAGACATTAGGGTGCATTGACACCGCTTTTCTAGGATGTTACGCAGCAGGGCAGCTGCTGCTGCCGCTGCTGCTTGCTGCAGTGCCGCACAGGAATTTTGCCGCTCTCACGGCGGCATGTTTCATGCTGTCTGCAGCAGCGACAGCAGCTTTTGGCTGCAGCAGTAGCGGACTTCTGTTGTTGCTGCTATGGGGGTTTAACGGGCTTGTTCACGCTCCGCTTTTCCCGCTGCTACTGCAGTACGTCTCTGCTGCTGTCACCCCGGAGAACAGAGGGGCTGCTCTTGGTTTGTGGACCACTTCCCAGCAAACAGGTATGGCAGTTGCTTCTGCTTCTCTTGCTGGTGCTGCAGCTTTGTGCTAATATTGTGCCCCGTGCTGCTGGTGCGAGTGCGAGTGTGGGGTCGTTCACTTGCTTTCAAAGTTGATGGTCTTGTTTATGGGCGTTGCTGCTGCAGGAGCTATGGCGGCGACCGCCGTTGCTGCAGTAGTCGAAGCAGCATTTGGATGGAGGCAAGTCTTCTTTTTTGCTGCTGCAACAGCAGCAGTTACATCGGTGTTGCTGCTGTATCTTCTGCCATGGAGCAGCAAGAAAGCTATGCGACGGCAATTGCAGCAGCGGCGAGAAGATGAGCAAGGCCTCGAGGATTTAGCGGCAGCGAAGGAGAGTTCAAGTTGCCAACAGGAGAAGGAAGACTACCAGGACGAACAGCAGGGGGAGTTGAGGCATCTGCGATTGCATCAGCAGCAGAAGCATAAGTTACTGCTGCTTCAGCAGCACCTACACTCACCCGAATGCCTCGTCAGCTTCCAGCCACAAGAAAGTGCATGCAGCCAAACAGGAGGTACCGGCGACAGTAGTGGCAGCACAACCAGCACTGCTCGATGCGCTGAGCTGGCAAGTTGTGCTGATGCTTCCAGCAGCAGCAGCAGTAGTAGCAACAGTTACTGCAGCAGCAACAGCCCAAGTGGCAGTCTGACCAGCAGCCCTTTTAATAGCTACCATTCCCCAGCGGTGATGACCTTCAGTTCGTCAGTGGCAGCACCTTGGGCTGCTGGAGTTGCTGCTGGACAACCAACGGCAGCAGCAATGAGCCGCAGCAGGAGCATCTTACTTCCGTCTCTCCGAGCAGAAGCAGCACCAAGATGTGCAGCGGCAGCAGCTGAAGCTGAGTTAGTACCAATTCCTTGGGAGCGCCGTGTTTCCAGCGGGAGCGAAGCAGCTGCAGCAGCAGCGCATCAAATGCGCCAGCTGCTGCAGCTGTTCTCTGTCTCATCCCTCAGCAGCAACAAGAGCCCGCCACGTCGACTGCCGGATTCTCGCAGCAGCAGCAGCTGCATCACTCTCAAAAGCAACGGGAGCAGCTGCAGCTTGCGTCGCGGTAGTAGCAGCAAGAAACGCGACGAAGCCAACGTGGGCTACAAAGGCGCTGGCTATCTCATCTGTCTATGTGGTGCTGCCTATTTCTTCATCAAGTTGATTCGCTACAGCTTGCTGCTGTGGCTGCCTTTCTTCCTTGCCAAGCAGGTCCAGATGTCTGCTGCTGCTGCTGCTGCTGCTTCTATTCCCTTTGATGTTGGTGGCATGCTTGGTGCCGTCATTGCGGGATTTGCTGCAGACAGGCTATGCGCAGGTACGTTATGCTGCTGTTGCTGCTGCTGCTTATCTTGTTGGTCATTCGTGCTGCTGCTTACGTTACAGCGGCTGCTCCAATTGCTTTTGTGCTGCTGCTGGCGGCTGCCGCATGCTGCTGCTGCTTGCACTCCCATTTTTTGCAGCTTCTTCCCACCACTGCAGCTGCAAGGTGCTAGGACTGTGCATTTTACGGCAGCACCGCTCTGATTTATGTTCGCACTTCATTGTCTGCTTCCCGTGATGCTGCTGCTTCAGGAAAGAGGCTCACGTGCGCTGCTAGCATGAGTTTAGCAACGGGGTTTTGTTTGCTGCTGCTGGCGCTGTCTTGCCAGCAACAGCAACTGCTGAGAGAACAACACCATGAGCAGCAACAGCAGCAGGAAGCTTCCTTGCAGCAGTTGAAACAGCTGCAGCAGCAAGCTTTGCTGCTGCTAGAACAGCAGCACAAGCGTGCGAAACAGCAGCTGCCGCTTCAGCTGCAGCAGACACTCGATAGGGTGCAGGTCCTTGAGCAGGAATTGCAGAAGAAGCAGCATGAGGCACACCAATGGCAGCACGACGTGCAACAACAGCACAAAGAAGAGCTGCAGCAACAACAGGAACAAGCTGTCAAACTGGAGGAGGCTGAGCAACCACAGCAGCAGCAACTGCTGGCGGGACAGTCGATGCAGCGGCAGCCTCTGGAGCAAGAAGAACCACCGCAGCAGCAATTTCCTCTTCAAGAGCAGTCGCAGCAGCAGGGGCCACAGCAGCAGGGGGAGTCACCGCAGCAGCAGTCAATGCAGCAGCAACTGCCATCGCAGCAGCAGTCCCTGCAGCAGCCTTTGCAACAGCAGCCAATGCAGCAACAACAGTCGCAGCAGCAACAGCTGCCGCTGCAGCAACAGCCGCAGCAGCAACTACGGCAGCAACAAGAGCAGAGGCCACTGCAGCAGCAGGAACCGGTGCAGCAGCAGGTATTGCATGAGCAGCAGCCACAACAGCAGCCACTGCAACAGCAGCCACTGCAACAGCAGCCACTGCAACAGCAGCCACTGCAGCAGCAACAGTCCCTGCAGCAGCAGCGGCCGCAGCAGCCGCTGCCAGCACAGCTGCAGCAATTGCCGCTGCAGCAGCCGCAGCCAGTACAGCAACTGCAGCCATCACAACCGCAAGTACTGTTGCAGCAACCGCAGCTAATGCAGCAGCCGCAACCACAACAGCAGCAACTGCCGCTGCAGCCGCCGCTGCTAGCACAGCAGGAACTACTGCTGCAGCAGGCTCAGCCAATACAACAGCCGCAGCCACTGCAGCAGCAAGTACCGCCGCAGCAGTCTCATCCACTCCAGCAGCCACAGCCACTACAGCAGCAACTACCCCTACAGCGGCTGCAACCACTGCAGCAGCAGCAACTACCGTTGCAGCAGCCGCAGCCACTTCAGCAGCAGCAATTGCCGCTGCAGCAGCCGCAGCCTCTACAGCAGCTGCAGCCGCTACAACAGCTGCAGCCGCCACTGCCGCAACAGCAGCCACTGCAAGACCAGCAACCATTACAGCAGCAGCAACCACCGCTCCAGCAACAGCAGCCACTGCAGCAGCTGCAGCCACTACAGCAGCTGCAACTACCGCTGCAGCAACGGCAGCCACTGCAACAGCCTCAGCCATTACAGCAACAGCAACTACCGCTGCAGCAGCAGCAGCCGTTACAGCAGCAACTACCACTCCAGCAGCCACAGCTACTGCAGCAGTCGCAGTCATTGCACCTGCAGGATCCGCTGCAGCAGCATTCACTGCAGGAGGCGCAGCCACTACAGCAGCAGCAGCCACCGCAGCTACAGCCCTTGCAGCAGCCCCAGCCGCTGCAGCAACAGGAGCCGCTGCCTCAACAATCAATGCAGCAGCAGCAAGAGCAACAGGAACAGCAGTTGCAGCCACTGCAGGAACAGGAACTACTGGCAAATTCAATTCAGCAGCAACAGCTGCAACTGCAGCAGACAGATCAGCAACAGCCACCTCCGCTGCAATCCTTACAGCAGCCCCAGCCACCACAGCTGCAGCAGTTGCCGGCCCAGACACTCCAGCAACCTCAACAAGAGTCCATAGGGCCCCGGCAACAGTTGCAGCAGTCGCAGCAGCCACAGCCACAGATCGAGCAGCAGTTGCCACAGCAGCGACAAGCTTCGCAGCAAGTATCGCAAATGCAGCAACAGCGGCCGCTAGTGCAACCGCATACAGAGCTGGAGCAGCAGCAACAGCTGCCACAGCAGCAGCAGCCACTGCAGCAAGAGCAGCCGCAACAAGCTTTGATTCGACAGCAGCGAGAGCCACTAGCGCTTGATCATGTACCACAGCAGCAACCCCTGGCACAGCCTCTGCAGGAACCGTCGCAGCAGCAACCAGAAGTGCAGCAGTCATACCAGCAAAGGAATCAGCAACCTTTGGTGCAGAAACAACAGCCACAAACACAGTTGCAACGGCAAGAGCCTCAACTCCAGCAGCATGAGCAGGCGTCCCCAGCGCAGCGGCAGGAGGATCGGGCATCGTTACACCAACTACAAGAGCCCTGGCTGCTTCAACGAATACAGAGCCAGCAAGTGCAGCAACAACACCAAGCAGCGGCCTTGCCACGAAAACTTGCTGAAGCAGTTGCAGCAGCGGCAGCCGCAAAGAGCTCGTTAGATACGCAAGGCCAAGTATCACTTCAGGCTGTGAGGCAGCAGGAACAGCAGATTGAAAAAGGCCAGCGGACAGAGGACCGCGGGGAAGCGACAGCAGCTGGTGCGGCAGCTGCCGAAGCTGCAGAAGTAGCAGCTGAGGTGGAGGGAGATGATCAGTGGGCACTGACGCTGCTGCGGCTAGAGCTACAGCAGCAGGAGGACCTGCGTGTGCTGCAGCAGCAGCACGCGGAACAGTTGTCTGCTGCAATTTACTCAGCAGCAGCAGCAACAGCAGCAACAGCCGCAGCGGAGAAACAACAGGTGCAGGTCCTACTACTGTGCATGCTACTAGTTGGCTTTTGTGTTGCCGCCCCGGACTCCATACTCGGTGCATCTGCAGCACAAGAAATCGCAGATCTGAGAGGCCTACCACCTTCTGCTGTTCCCTCCACTGCAGCACTCATCAATGCGATGGGGGCGGTTGGGGCACTGCTCCAGGTAACGCGTTGCTGATGTGCGATGGCATAGAAAAAATAAGAATAGGTCGTGCAACTATGCAGTTGCTTGAGTGCAGAGAAAATTTCTTTTCGGTACCAATTCTGCTGCTGCCTCATCTTACGTGTACTCTACTTTTTGAGGCGCCGTCTGCTTTTGTACTGCAGGGGAACTTGACTGCTGCCGTGTCGGATGCCTACGGCTGGGATGTGCTGTTCGGGGTATTGTGCGTCTTCGCGGTGTTCAGCGGTTTGCTTCTCCTTCCGGCTACGCTGGCCGAGCTTAAGAAGAAACCGGCGCAGTAGCAGCAGCTGCTGCAATTGCTAGAGATGCTGCAACACCAGCTCGTGTGCTACGCCTGCTTCTGCTGCGCGAAATTTCCAGGATTAGGCCCTACACAATGAAGGAATGTCTGTTGGTATATACTAAGCAAATACGAAAAGCGGCGCACGTGGATCGCAGTCCTGAGCCCAGGAACGGCATGTGCAGCAGCAGCACCGCCGCGTGTACGTACCTGCTTTTGCATCTGTGCAAAATATGAAATACTATCGGCGGTGCCTGTTGTGTGGAGGTTCAGAACGCACAGCTGCAGCCACTGCGGCCACTGCACCTGCTGCTGCGGCTGTCGCGGCAACTGGTTCTGGAGCAGCTACCGATGTTGCGTAAGCAGGGGCCGCTGCTGGTGCAGGTGGTGAGCTGTCCGTTGAAGACGATTGGGTTTGCGGAGTGCTCACATAGCTCGTGTGTTTACTAATATCTTTTGTTTCTCTGCGGTGGTGTTGCTCTGCTTATTTTATACAGTGCGGTATCAAAAATTGCAGCAGCACTAGCAATTCTTACGTCTGCTGCCTCCACAAAGTCAGGAGCTCCCCCAGGGGTGCACGCAGGGTAGCAGTACTGCTGTCCTTGGATTGTCTACTTCCCGGGCCATGCAGCAGCAGCAGAAAAGCAGGAGAAAGGAGGGGTTGCAGCTAATGGACTTTTGCTGCTGCTGTTGCCCTGTTGCAGTTGGCACTTCACGTAAGTTGAAATATTTCGGTTTGTTGGCTTGCCTTGAAGTGAAATCGACGGTAGAAACATAAAAGACAAGGACAACACAAAGCTACACAAAGACAAAGCGAGACAGAAAGAGGCAGAGAGAGCCCTCTCATGTCCCGAGAGAAAGGCCCACGGGCCGCTGGGCGCAGCAGCTGTTTGTGCTTGCGACTGCTCCCCACAACTGACTTCCTCAGTTCCCCTTCATTTGTATATGCAGCTTAAAGCATAAGTTTCATTCAGAGGGACGAGATAGCCGTGCCTGCTTTGTGTCTTTTCTTTTTGGGTGGCCCCATTGTTACTGACACTTGCTGCTTCAGCAGCTGTAGCGCATCACTGCTATTGGTGCTCATGCACCGCAGCAGCACCCCCATTGCGGCGGCGTTAAACCGCAGGGCATCCTAAGACACCAAGAGCATCAAAGACAGCAGCACCCATCGAGGACGAGGCATCCATGCTTCCCGACACAGAGGTAACGGTACGCACGCAAACAGGCATGGTCGCCACTTACAAACAGTAGGAAACGAAGTAAAATTGGCCAAAAAGCCAGAACGGGAGGGCCAGAAGAGACAAACAGAAGAAGGTCGCATTGAGCCGGAAACGGAAGCAATCGAAGACAAGCAGAGAACGACATAAGGAAGATACTCGCAGGCAAAACACAGACTTTAGGCCTTACCCTTTGTTGCAGCAGCAAAGGCCTCACGGCGGACCGAAGTCTAAGGACAAGAGCCCTGTGCTTCTCCGACGCTATAAACAGCCTTAGCACCAGTCCCGCAGCCCACAACACAACGAGGCACCTGGTGCTATTGCTGCAGCTGCTTTGATGCTTCTACTCATCTACACGGCTGCTGTGGTTGTTGCTGATTCTTTCGTCTCACCTGAAGTGCAGCTGAACAAGATGTAGCGCCAGGCGCACCGCCAACTCCGTGGGTCCAGGAACAGCGTGCTTCAGCAGTTGCTGGGGTATTTCTGCACTGCCCTCCGGTGCGCTAGGGATGGCTCGTCGTTCAGCTTCCTTCTCCAAGAACTCTGTCAGGAACTGCAGCAACTGTGTAACAGCAGTAGCAGCAGCAACTTCTGCGTTAGTTCCAATGCTAGGCATGCGAGGCTGCAGCTCGGGTTCAGGGTTCAGAGTGCACCCGGATGAACTGACTACCTAGCTACTGAAGCCAAAAAGAGCAAGGCGCTGCAGATGCAGGCGAGAGCGACTACATCTGCAGCTGTAGTATCACCTGGAGCGCGTAGTCCACAGGCAGGGCCAACAGCACTTCTGCTGCCTCCGAACTTCTGATGCTATATATACACTTCAGTAAATGCTCGTTTGCAGAGCGCCCCAGAAGCTCCGGCCGTGTGGCCGATGGTGCGGGAATGGGGTTGGCAGCAGCTGCTACTGCTGCTCCCGATTTTTTCGCTGCGCGGGCAACAGTCTCGGTCCACCGTTGAAAGCAGGCCGCGTAAGCCTCGTCTTGTGACCACTGATCACGCGCCACTTGCAGCGCCTGAAAAATGCAGCGATTCACCCACACATCGCATAAGCAGCTGCAGAAATCACTACTGCTGTGAGGCAGCAGTTTTGGTAGCACAACACGCGCGTGCTGTTAAGTTGAGATTTCTGTTGGTTACTGCTTTCCAATTCACTGAGAACAGTATCGGCAGCAGCAGCACTAGCGAAAGTATTAGCGGCGCCGCCACTAGCGCGATCCAGCGTGGCAGCAGACCTCAATAAGTTTGTCGGCTGTCCTCAACACCTCGTCTGTCCGTCTAGTAGGTCTATCTAGAACGACAGTGGCTGCAGTAGCAGCAGCAGTAGCAGCAGTATTTGCGGCTGCTGCATCGAATCCCTCTGAATCTAGCAGCTGCTGCTGCAGCAACCGCTTCTCCTGCTGTTCCTCAGCAAATACCTGCTCCTCCGTGCGCCGCCATAAGTGCAGCTGCCTGCTGCTGTCGCAGCAGCAGAAGTAGTCCCCATCCGCTGACAAGCACAAAGCCAGCAGGGGAGCACCCCCAAGTCCCCCTCCCTTCGCGGCAGCTCCACATGCAAACACCTTAATTAGCACCTGCCGGTCTACATCCCACTGTTTTATAAAGCCGTCTAGGGACACAGACAGCACGTAATGAGTCAACGGCAGGAAGGAAACCTGAGCATGATGCAAACGACAAATCACAAACAGCGAACCAGATATCGTGAATTCTAAGTCTGCTTTGCCGACCAAAATCGTGCATTTCAGCCATGAAACTCTGGATTCCATTCCCTCAAAGAGAAAGACGAGTCCTGAGACCCAAACTCCAAACCCTGGGCCTCAAGTTGATGCCCCTACTTTTGTGATTGCCTCATCGTGTGCCCTGAAGCTCTTCCGTATATCACCAAAGTCTAGTCCCCAAATTTTCAGTGACTTGTCTACAGAGCCAGAGGCTAACAAGGCCCCAGATGAAGCCACAGAAATGCTTGTTACTGGCAGCTTGTGGCCGTATAGTGACAAACGAATGCGGCCTGTAGGGGAAACAGCACCGAAAGCAAAACTGCCGATCAGACGCAGAGCATTCACCGTAGAGGACAGGGCAACACAAATGGGGCAGATAAACAATATCACAGCTGTGCAAGCATCGGGCGCGGCAGCGCACTGTGCACTGCTAGATAGTCACAGTGACGACGACAAACAGCAATGTGAAAACAACAGTTGCATTTTTGGCCACTTAAGCAATACAATTATCTACTGTTGCTATAATTTCAAGCTAAGCTCTCCATCACAAAGCAAGCAACAGCAAAAGCAGCCGTCACCGCTTGCTACACTGCCAGCAGTAACACGTTGTCGAAACTCCAGTCATGGCGGTTCCAGCAGCAGCTGGTAGCACACCTGTGTCTGCATGAAGCACGAGTATAGTATGGTCAATGAGAGCAACAATCAGCAAGTTGCCAGTGGGGTCGAAAGCTACATCTAGAGCTTCGTCAGGCACAGAGAACGAGCCTTCGCAACGGACACAAACTTGCTGCTGTTGTTGTTCTTGCTCGTGGTGCTCCTGCTGTTTCTCTTTCTTTTTCCCTGAGAAAGCGCTGTCAATGTCTTCCAGGTAAAACGCAAACAACTTAACCGTCCTATCACTAGACGCTGACGCAAATCTGCAGCAGCAGCAACAAGTAGCGACGGCTTGCAAAATGTTGCCGGCTTTGCGACAGCCGCCGCTGCTGACACCGCTGTCCCGTTGCTAGGCGCTCTCTGCTCATGGGACAGTTTTGCAGCCTCGTTTAGGACGACGGCTGTTTACGTGTTCTTCAGGTCTCTCGTTTGGTAATACAGTTTACAGCGTTGGCTTGTGGGGTTTGGACGTACCCAGTGTGCTTGGGATGTTCAGCTAGTGCATTAATTGCTGCTGCATGTGCTTCTGTCCGCTGCAGCAAGGCGGCAGCTCCCAAGTCAAAGAGCACCAGCTGCCCGTTCCTGCATCCTAGCACGATATGTTCATTACCTGCGCACAAGCTCTGCCTCTCAACCCCGAAACCTCATCTTACAGCCTCAGTTCTTGGGCTGTCACCGTGGCCTTTGATCTGCTCGACAAATCGTGACGTTTAAGCCTTACACCCGAAAAATCTGAGCTCTTACCGGCCACAACGAAACCGCACTGCGGCTCTTCACACGGCAGCGTCTTTACACAGCGCGCTCTCGCAACATTCCAAATCTTGGCTCCCTAAAAAGAGCGCCAAACAATATATCACTCTGAGAATTATGCCATAGTGCACTACTGATTCCTTGCATAGAAAGAAATCCGGCCTACTTAAGATTGTCGAGAATTTGGCAGAAGCACCAGCAGCCACAGCACTGTCGCTTGCAGCAGCAGCTCATGAAACGGTAGCCTCGATATATATAATACCGGCAGCCAGGCCGCAGCAGCAGTCGCAGCAAGACTGCAGCAGCAAAAGCAGCAAGGCCATAGCACGAGCAGCAGCAACAATGCAGCAGCACCATCAGTGTAGCTGCGGCAGACCTCATCAGCCGTTGACAGGATATATCCGTCGTCATGTGATGTGCTCAGACTTCTCATTTGTCCCGCGTGCCCTCCACAAGATATGAAAGACACCCGTTCAAACGCCGCCTCAGAGTCCAGCTGCACAGACACACAGATACACCAAGCTCTAGGCCGCAAGCCCTTAATGGTGAGTCCCGAACTCTTGAACCTGCGCCTCAGTGCGACGTCGCACGGTAACAAAGGCACAGGCAACGCTGAAACGCGGGGAAAACCGGTGGGGGCCCTAGACGCCATATCCTTCAGAGTGAGAAAACGAGCTAAGGCCGCACCTTATGGCATAGGATCTACTGTTTACTGCGTGCCACTTACGCTGTGCTTGCGTAGCAGCGCCGGATTTGCTTTCCACAGTTCCAGCGAGTTGTTGCTGAGGTTTAGGCAAATGCGGACACACATGTGACTCCTGCTGCTGGCCACGCGAGCGTGGAATCCTTTTATTGACGCATCAGCATGCAGCGAGCCCACAAACAGCACTTCACCAAGCCGCTGCTGCTGCTCCTCCTCCACGCCGGCCTGCTGCTGCTGATTTGCATCGTGACTGTCCTCTTGCTGTTTCTGTTTCTTCTTAAGTCTCTGCAGCAGTCGCCTCTCTCTCTTTTGTTGTTGCTGCTGATTCTCAGCTGCATTGTAGCAGCGGAAAACATCAATAATGCGAGACCCTCCGCTGCAGCATAGCAGCAGGCCTCCAGTAAGCACCGGTTGGCTTGCTGCTGCTGCTGCTGTGGCTGCAGCTGCAGAAAGGGGCTCTCCAGTCGGCACAAACTGCAACTGGCGGATACGCTGCTTTTTGCTGCTGCGGTTGGGGTGTACAGACCCCAAGTATGTAGTCATGGCCCAGATGCTTTGTGCTGCTGCTGCTTCCACACCTGCTGCTCCTGCTGCTGCTGCTGTTGCTGCTGGCGGCCTTAAGTGCAGGGCAAATACCCGAACTTTGTAGTCTCCTCCGCCCACAAAAAGACGAGTCTGCAAGCGCCGAGCACAGAAATCTAAGCTGCGAAACGCGGTGCGTAGAGCACGTAACACGCGCACTGGCAAGCAGTGGTGGGATAGGCGAAGCCGCGCCGAACGGCGCAGCAACCAGAGCAGCAGCAGCAGCAGCAGCAGCAGGAGGCGCAGCAGCACAATTAACCGCGCTTGAAAGAAAGTCACAGGCAACCATAGCAGATAGCCCAACAGCAACAACAGCACAGGCTCACCTGACAAGCGTTGACTGCTATTGCCCACACTTCCGCAGCCTCTGCAGCTTCCACTGCCGTGTAAAGACATAGCTGCAGACAGACATCCCATATTTTGATGAGGCCGTCTTTCGACCCGCTTACCAACAGCAAACTGCCGCTGCTGCTGCTGCTACTGCTGTTGCTTGAGTTGCTGGTGCCTTCCGCTTCGCCAGAGGCAGGCTCCTTGCGTTTCTTGCTCCGCCGTTCCTCCGGTGCATTTTCATTGCCCACTTCTGGGGCGTCTGCTGCGGCTGCCGCTGCATTGGGCTGCAGTGCTAGCAGCGCAGTGACTGGCTGTGTGTGGCCACGTAGGCGGCAGCGGCCGCTGCCGCTCTCCACATCCCACACAATGATGTCTCCATCTGAACCCCCTGACAACAGCAAATCTTCTCTGCTGCTACTGCTGCCGCCGCCATTGTTGATGACGCTGCTGCTGCTCGCCGCCCATTGCAGTGCGTTCACATTGCCTCTATGTCCTTGCAGCTCGAGCGTTGGCGGCCCTATCTCGGGCTGCTGCTGCAGTAGCACTGCCGCAGCAGCAGCAGTAGTGTCGACTGACCAGATACGGATGCTGCCGTCGCTGTAGCCAACGGCAACAGCAGCAGCAGCTTCTGCTGCTGCCACAACCGTGGCACGCTGTCTGAACCCCTCGACATCTCCATCTGGAGTCACTACTGCGGGTACCCGCAGCCGCAGCAGCCGCTGTCGCTGCTGCGTGTGCCACAGTACCGCCTCGCTGCCACAGCAGCACCAAACCAAATCGCTGTTTGTGCTACTACTGCTGTGGGGCCCCACTCCTGGGAGCAGCTGAAGGTTGGCCGTGGGTGTGGCTGTTAAGCCAAAGGCAGCAGACTGCTCATAGTTCAGGTAGGCCTTAACCATTGCTGCAACGGCTGCTGATGATGATGCATGTAGTAGATGCGCCTTCGTTTCCTCTGCTTGGCCTATTTGTTGCAGCTGAGAGGACTCTATGCACGTACGCTCTTGAAACTGATGCTGCTGCTGCTGCTGGGCAGTCCTCGAGCATGGCCGATGCTGCCTTGCTGCTACTTCGGCTTTTCTTGCAAGGAGTTCGGGTGTGTATGCAGCAGTGCTAATCCGTTATATGACACCCACCCAGCTTAGCCTTCCAGGAAATTAGGTAAAATGTTGGCCACTTAGCCCCTAGATACCGGGCCTTAGCAGCAGTATTCCAGGAAGCCGAGTAATACATGCGTGGGGCCTCGATGGTAGCCCCGCAGCGACAGCAGCAGCAGCTTCGACATGGTAGAATTGTCGCCTGCTGTAAAATATCTTCCGAGCAAATTAAAAAAAAACCATTGGCCTCTTGGCCTGTGTAGGCCGTAATGGACCTTGAAGTCGAAGGTCTAGTGCTTATACATATGATACAGGGCTCCATGCAGCCTTCTCAGTGTCTAATGGCATCTTCCTTCAATATTTTTATTTTTCTAAGTAAGCATTAATCAGTCAACACACCCAACTGCGGCCTGCAGCAGCTACTACTGATTTTACAGGCGGGCGGGCACCTTCAGCGTAGCAGCCGCGGCAACAGCAGTTGCAGCGAAGGGTGCAGCAGCTACTGTTCCGTATGGTGCAGTGCCTAGACCCCTCGACAGCATTGAGGTGCATTTGGGTCAGCCTGAGGCTGTTTGTCACCTAAAGCGCTGCGCTACAAGCTTCAAAGCCCACAAAGACGGCCATACGCACCACAGTAGCAGCAGCAGCAGTAGCAGCAGCAATGGTTCAGGACTCCTTTAACGCTGCACCAGCGCCGGCTGCGCTTGTATATGAGGGTCACAACTGCCTACGGGAGCGTCTTTGTTTGTCAGTTTTGTCCGGTAAGGACATTTGGGTGAGACACATTCGGGAGGATCCTTCCGTTATTGATGCCGCTGATGGAGCCGCTGCCGCCCTCCCTGGGCTGCAGCAGCACGAAGCCAGCTTTATTAGACTGCTGTGCAAGGTTACTGAAGGATCGGAGGTTTACATACACCCGACGGGGACGTCGCTGCGATTCCGGCCGGGGTTGCTCCTGGGGGTGCGTGCTGGAGCAACCCACACAGCAGTAGGCCAGTCCAATGCTGCTGCTGTTGCTGCTGCTGCGCCTGTGGTGCACAACTGTCACGAAAGCAGAGGTATCAGCTACTACCTCGAGCCGCTGCTGTACCTTGCCCCCTTTTGCAAATACAGAATGTCTGTGCTGCTACGTGGCGTAACTGATGCAGCAGCAGCAGACGCTTCTGTAGACTTCCTGCGGCTGCAGCAGATCCCGCTGCTGCAGCAGCTGCTGAAGCAGTGGGGCGGTGCAGTTGCGGCTGCTGCTGCTGCTTCTCCTCCAGAGATAAAGGTACACTGCAGGGGGCTTCCAGGCTCTCCCTTTGGCGTTATTACGTTCAAGGGGCCAGAGGTGGCGCGCGGCGATTTGCAACCATTTACCCTTGCGGGTGCTGTTGCTGCTGCTCCCGTCAAGCGTGTTAGGGGAGTGGCTTTTGCGGCTGGAGCTTCTGCTGCATTCCCGCGACGAGCCGTTTGTGCAGCTAGGGGCCTCCTCAACATGCTGCTCCCCGACGTTTGGGTGTACGTTGAGGACGCATTAAAAATAGGGGGCGGCGGCGTCAAAAGAGCAGCAGCAGTGGCTGCTGCTACTGCGGAAGGCAAGGGTGACACGCAGCAGCACCAGCTGCAGCAGCTGTTGCACGAGCAGAAGCAAAAACTCAAGTCCAGCAAGGTTGCTGCTATGGGGATGGTTCTGGTGGCTGAGAATATAAAGGGAGGCTGCAGGGCTGCAGGGGACGCAATATTCCTGGACCCAGTAGCAGCAACAGATGCAGCAGCAGCACCACCAAGTGCCGCTGATACAGTGGCAGCAGCTTCCCGGGCCACAGGCAATGTCAAGCTGCAGCACCTGCTGCAGGCTGAAGCTGCAACAAAAGCAGCGGCATCAACAGAAGAAACACTAGCTACTCCAGAGGAGCAACTGGGATTGCGTGTGGCGAGGCTGTTACTACTGCAGCTGCTGCTAGGAGGCGCTGTGCCCCCACGCGGCCAGAAGATGGCACTGTTGTTTGCTGCACTAGCCGGTGACCATGCCCCGTCGAAGGTGAGTTCAGGTGCACACGTCAAGCTACGTATATGCGCCAGCCTCTGAAGAGGTCTGTGTAAAATAGGGGATAAAGCTTAGAGTGTACATCTTTGTTTTCAGGTTTTGCTCTCTCGCTTGACTCCATCAACTGTTGGTTTCCTGCGGCTGCTGCGGGACTTCTTTGGAGTTGCCTTTACTTTTGAGCAGCAGGAGCAGGGGACGAAGGAGCAACTTCAGCAACAGGATTCGGACGAAGATGGTGAAGACTTCTCCAACACTAAGCGCGACGAGCCCCTAGACCTTTCGTGGGCTCCCCAAGTACTCGCTAGCTGCGTCGGTATTGGTTATAAGAACACGAACGTTAGCAGCTTCTAGCAGTGGCTACTGCAGCTGTTCCCGCGGGAGCGGTGCTGTCTGCGCCGCCTTCGCTTGCTGCCCACTGGTGACTGCTTTTTTAAACAGCTAGTCTGCTGCTCAGCTGTCTAGCTAGGGAACTGCCACCAAACCACCGTGCCTCTCTTGGCTTATTGCTTTCATAAGTCCAGTGAGGGCTTTGTGTGCGCATACGTGCCGTCCCGTTGCACATCTTGTTCCGTCCCTTCGTCAGCCTTCCTGGCAGTGGCTGTCTGCCTTTGCCCTTCGGTCGTCCTACCCTTTCTAGTCGTTTCCCAGTCAGTTCTTGCTGACTTTCGGGACTGATATGCTTCGCCATCAGTCCCGAAAGTCAGCAAGAATAGATCGATGGTTTTTGCCTGTCTGCTTTTGGGTAGAGGTGGCACAGACAGAGAATAGAAATACGCAACTGCCTTCTCCTATTCTCCCCTTGTGACTACATTTGCTTGTCATCATATCCCTCTATACGTGTGTGAAAGTGCTTGTTCGTTTCTCTCCAATTAACCTCTCATTATTTCACTCTCTATTCTTCATGATTATTCCTTTCAGCGTCTGCTTGTGCCTGTTTTTGCTCGTTGGTTTGGATGCCATTTTTGACGGATTTCGTCAACGTAAAAAATGTCAGAGGTTACATCAGCTTCCCCCGAGCTGCTGCCGCTGCAACGGGCAGCTGCTGCTACGGGTTCTTGCTGCTGCAGCTGCTGCTACGGGTTCTTGCTACTGTAGCAGCATGCTGTTGCTGCTACTGCTGCTGCTCCCGCTGCGTCTGTTTGCTGCAATCACTGCTGCAACTTGGGCTGTTTCTGCTCCAGCTACATATGAGCGGTAAGGGCGGGTCCCTCTTATGAGCAATGCAACCCAACTAGATGCTGGCTAGCTAGCTGAATCAGCTTAACCAGCTGCAAAGGGGTGGCTTTACTAGCTGTCTGGGTAGCTGCTAAGCTACCTAAGCACTTAGCCTTCACGGCGTACGAGAAACCGGTCAGCTCCAAACTTCGTGTTTCTCCAGTCCCATCTGCAGTGCGAAGAAACACAGATAAGCGAGTGAGACGCCAGCTGTGTAGGAGCTGTCCCATGTTCGTGATGCTGCACCCCAACTATGGCAAATGTGCTGAAGGAACTGCACCTCATCACAGCTTAAGCCTATGGTAAATGTGCTGAAGGGACTGCGCCCTACCACAGCTTGAGCCTCAGCAAAAGGCCATAATGAGGCCATTCCTAACTGTCTATAGTTCGCCTGTTGGTCCGCTAGCTATCTACTCATACATACAGCTACCTATGTGCAATAATGGCTGACCTGAGCAAGGCTCTTTCTCCTTCGTCTCTGCCCCCACTAACTTGGAGGAACTGGGCGTCCCGCCCGTCAGAGCCAACAACCACCAAGGAGGGGACGCCAGCGCGAGGGCCCTGGCCTTGGGTGGGCACACTAGCTTCCTTCTCAACCTACGGACACACAGAGACATATGCAAAAGGAAAAAGGAATGAGCACACCTAGGCACATGAACAGGAAATGAAACAAAACGATGGCCCACCATTGACATACTGTTGAACATCAGGTGAAGAAGAAACAAAAGTAGCGACTAAGGCTGATACGAATTCTCTACTTTTTGGCTAGCGGCTCGCGAAGTGTTTTACAATACGGCGACAGCATTCCCCGGGTAAAACAAGAAAAAGTAAAAGCCTGTTGCTAGCTGGGTGGCTGACTGCAAAGCCTAGAACAGAAACCCCTCTCAGAAACACTGCACGGTTAGCTTGGGCTTTCAAGCCCTAAGCCTTAGTCTAGAGGAGCTGAGCAGTATTTCCTTCACATCACAGTGAAGCCAGCGGCACGTAAAAAGCAAAGGGCAGCATTCTTTTTCTCCATAGATACGCAAAAGCGTAATAAACGGAGCACTAACGCCTACCCTGAAGTGTCTGAGCAAGATCGTTCTCAGGGGGTCGTTGAAGTCAATGACGAGCCAAGGCATGTGCTTAACGTGATCTTGAAAAGCCCTCTCGTCCTTGTCCGCTGACACGAAAACCACTTCGATCTTCTGGTGAGAGCCTCCCTCGTTCACCGTGCGGTAAAACTGTACAGAGGAACAACACAGGTAGAAGCAGCAGCAGGGAACCTTATTCAAAGCACTTCAGTGGACTGCACTGCTCATTCTGCAGCTGTAGCAGGCCTTGGGCAATAGATTCGAAGGCGTGGCGACTGGCCTGCGCGTTCTAGGCCGAGCGACAGCTTAGGATACATGGTCAGGCTAAACTCTGTCCCACCTGCAAAAGGAACGGCAGGAAGCTGCTGCACTTCGGGCTGCTGCCATCCGCGAAATAAAGACCAACAGATTTGCCTATGAGGTGCTGCTGGGACACCACGTTGCCATTCGAGTCCTTCAGGCTCCCCTCCGGAAACAGAATCAGGTCTACAGCAGCACAACAATAACATAGCCTAAACCCTATCCTCCTAAAATCTCACTTCTACTGAATAAAAACCGTAGGTGTAACATGCAAACTAAAAGTTTGCATGTTACACCTACGTTGGCCAGCAATCGGAAGACTTTGTATGACCTGGGGAACAAGCTGCAAGGTGCAGACTTCACACTATGCGGCGCTACCGACAGGCGACCAGCGGCACCTCCCTGTAAATAACTTTCATCTTGCCTATCGGTAATATCTATGGACTAAACTCTTAAGGCTCGCGCTCTCTAGCTCGAACTAGCTGTTGAAAGTATGTGGTGTAGAGTGACATGGTCGTATTTTTCGCGAGTGGTCTCTCGTGTAGGAAGCATTTAATGGAATTCGGCTCTATTTGAAAAGACCTCTCTTACCCATATCTCTGTAGGCAGGGGGCATTGGCATTGCTGGGGCGGCGGCGCCTTCCTTGCCACCCGCAGCGAGAATCTGCTCCTCATTGAAACGGCGCTTCTCGGCATTGTAGGGAGAGCAGTACTGAGGCAGCATCTTGAGAAAATGTAAGTGAAAAGGGAATTAGATAGTGAAAAATTAATATTACCTGCTGCTAGGGAAGAAAAATGAATGTGACAGAAGCACAACCCTCTTCTGCAGGCCGTCGCAGCCGAAGCAACAGCCCACTGGGCGCTCAGCCAGCAGGACCGCTGGCTCGGAGGCCGATTCATGCAAATTTGCGATAATCCATCGCAAGAGAATAAATCATTTTATAATGCGGATTTCAGAATTGTGTGTACTTTAGTTTTCTTGACGCTTAAAACGGCTTTCTTTTCTGTGCATGCCCCTCAGCGAGGCTCAACCTTCGCGAAAGCAAGAGGGAAGGAAGGGACAATGTGCGGCGATTGGAGGAGAGTGCCCACTCTTCCAAATCGTTGAAAACTAAACATGTACTGTCCACACCTAAAATCAGATGCTTTAGGGCATTTATTTTCGCGCATAGAACAGTTTGGGTGTCTGGTGACCGAGTATTGGAGCCCAAGCGTAAGGACTTCCTACGGCTAGGGGCTGCGGTTCCTAACTGCCCTGCCTGCTCTGTATCATTGGTGTTATCTAATCCCGCCCAATGTTTTCCTGATAAATTGCCTAACTGTAGTCTGCTGTCGGACTGCTGAACCTAGCTTCGACGAGCTGAGGGGGGAGGAAGGCTTTGAAGTAGTCGTGGAAAGACAGAGGAGCGCAAATATGGAACGGTGTTATAGGTTCGTTCTGCCATAGCCTACGAAACTCATCGAGTCGCATGCAGCCCAGGGTAATGGCGAGCTACGCGAGCTGCTCAAAGACTTTCGCTTCATGAAAGTGAGGGGGGAGGAAGGCTTTGAAGTAGTCGTGGAAAGACAGAGGAGCGCAAATATGGAACGGTGTTATAGGTTCGTTCTGCCATAGCCTACGAAACTCATCGAGTCGCATGCAGCCCAGGGTAATGGCGAGCTACGCGAGCTGCTCAAAGACTTTCGCTTCATGAAAGTAGGGATTGTGCTGCATTGTATGCTTGAAGTATTTTCGTTGCACTCAGCAAATGAACACAAGGGAAGCCCCTGTGCCTTCTGCTTCATGACAAATTCTCAGAAAACAAGCGGGAGTGCAAATGCAAGCCAACGGACACGTAGGGCTCCAACTCCCCCGTGGATCCATGTGTGCGAGTATTCTCTAAATTTAGAACCGTAATGACAATGCAAATGAACTATTAGATCTATGCGATCAATGCCCTCAATGCCTCATCAGTGCTCTAGCCTCCACGATGATCCTAAGTCTCATGCGAAAATACAAATCTTCTCTTCTCTGAGACCAGAAACGCACTCCCACCAAACCGCCAAAACGGGGAACCCATACTGCCCAGCGAAGTGAGCACTGGCAGGGTCCCAGTTTTTTCCAAACGTTCATGCGTTTCCACTAGCCATGTAATCTGCCGAGCGAACGCTCGGCAACAACTGCTCAGCTTTCTTCAAGAAACGAGTAGCTCACCGATTTTGGGCTCCGCGTCACCCAACCTAACAGCTGCTTGTCTTCACGAGCGAAAACGACGTCTCAGCCGCCTACTCCAAACACTCCTTCTATAACACTACCTTGCCTTTGTTAACTGCCCTTCCACTGCGGAACCATATAGGTCCTATAGCGTCAAGTATGCACAACAAGCGCGTCCTTGGAAAACGCCTGGTTCCGTTATCGGCTGTGCAGTTCCATGCTCAGTTGGCTTCTACTTTAGGCGCAGCCTCGATTCCACAAGCGCTAGCGAAACGTGATGGAACATTCGGGAGGAACTCACCACTGAATGGGAAGCTCCCTCATTCTACGCTAAGCGCTTCGATAGATACCCACTCGGCAGCGTCTGCGTATTTACTGAGGCTGCTGACCATAGCTGCATCGTCCTATTTCCCCTCAGTTTAACTATAACACTGAGAATTAAACTGACTGCACTACGGAAGCTCAACGAAAGTACACTGTAGTTCACGTGCTGCCAGCTCGCGCTGTCTCAGGAGCCTGCTTCAAAGGGATGGCGCCCTGTAGTTTGTCCGTCTTAACATTTCAGGTCCTTCACGCGTAGCTGAAGGCCTTTCACTGCCTCACTTGCATCTGAAGAATCAATAGCTCTGTGACGCTTACTGCGCGAGCGAGTTGCGAGCCCACTCACCCGCGACCTACGTTTTTTTCACGAAGTTGTAGAACGCTGAAAGCGTGACAGCGTTTCTGAGTAGCGCAAAGGGCGCATTGAACTCGCAACAGTGAGGAAGGCGCCGAAGCTGACCCTCGAAAGTTTGCTCTTGTTGGGTCTCATAAGCATGCTATGGGCGGCTGTGTGTATGTGACGAATTAGATGCCTTGAACTGGTTAG